AAGGTACATATATACTTTTTTGAAGTATATACATCTGCTCCCCTCTTACTTTCATCCAAATCTTTATATATCTATATATTTTTTGTCGTTTCTTTCAAGTGGCGACATATACAATTTATATTGCCATTCGCCCACATTTATTGCGGCAATAATTCATTTAATTTTCCTTGATTTACTTTGTCAAATGTGGAGTGGGTGGTCCAGGGCGCAGGACACAATCCTCCACCCCCCTTTTTTTTTAGGATATAGTATGTATAGTAAATGGTATATAGTAGTATACAGTATAAATGATTCTTAGTTTTTTGTTGCTATTTTTATATCTATTCCCGTCGGCCATTGCGCATCATTGGAGACCACTTGTTAAGCGGGGATTTTCTATTTTTCCATGTCGGGCTGCGTGTGTGAGTTTGGCTTTTTTCCTCGCAAATGGGAAACTAGCAAGTGGGTGGCATTGTAATTTATGCCACGTTTGCCACTTTTGTCATTTGGCTTCGTCCTGCCCTCGTCCTGCCTTGGTCCTGGCCCTGGTATCCTGGCCATGTTTATTTTTCCCCTTTGGGGTTCGCTTTCAGTTCGCTTTGGGTTTTGTTTGTCTGCTTTTGTTTTATTGACACTTTTGATCTTTTCCAATGCATGTACGATTCATTTATTATGTATGGTATGTGAGTCGGTGTGTGTGTGTGTGTGGGTGTTCAGGAACAGGAACAGGAAGAGAAAGAAGAGAAAGTGGCGTATCCTTGTGCCACTGATTGATACATAGGCCCAGGACACAACCACGCCCACCTCAAGCGCCCCGTAATTTGTTGACAAATGAGTTACAATAATGTCACATTATCAGTTCATCACAATAAAATTATACGGCCCGAGGCCAATTCCCCCGGCCTGTCCACCTTCAAGGATCTTGGGGATGTCCCGTTTGCTCAGCCAGGCCTCCTCTCTGAGCCACACTGAGAGATACGAGATGTGTGAAAAATATTTTGAAGATACTAATTGCATAAAGTTCCAGGCCCAAGTCCTATTCTTAATAAGAACTCTTAGTTATTGTTCTCAGTGCATCTTAATTGGCTTGAGCGAGTCCTGCATCCAACCACTTAAGTGCCTCGCCATCGGCTAGAATGGAATGGCTGGAATCCACAACAATCAGTCCTTCGGAGATGCAGGACCTGTTAATCACAAAAGCAGGCGGTACGTAGGGGGTGCTGGCTGTGTGGATACGAGATTGATCCTGGGCAGGATGCTTTCGATGCTTTGGCTTGTCATGGAGCGCATTAGGCCCAGATAAATGACCAGCAGGAAATGGCAATTCCGAATTCGCACAAATTCAAATGATATGCCAAAAGATTTGCCTGAAAGTATCCTCAGACAGAGTATTCCTCTCCCAGTAGTCCTAGTAGTCTCAGCCTGTGTGTCTCCTTATCGTGTTGTGACGCTGGAGAAAAGCGCAACTGTACTCGTCCTGCCGGCCCAGCCCGACCCTGCCAAGAGGAACCGAGTAGAAGGACGAAAGTCATTTGACAAATGCCAATTGACAGGAATCGAAAACAACAAACAAAACAACACACACACATACTAATACTAGAGGAGCAAAAAAATTCATTTCTGATTGCCAAATGAACGAATGACGAATGACTGAAGGGACGAAAAGGACTAGGTCTGGGTTGGGGGAAAATAATGTGGGAATGGCCGGGAAGACAGGCGAACAGAAGTTTGTCAATGTGATAAATGCCATTTTAAGTCTCGCATAATGATTCCTGGCAAGAAACCGACAAGGATTTCAGATATTTCGATACGGTTAGCAGTCCTGCCTGCAGGCAGCAGCAGCACCCATATATAAATTATGTCCAGCAAGCCGACTTCAGCAGTACAGGGTATCATCTATAGCCCCGAAACCTGACAGCTCTTTTAAGTTTTTCTTTGCATTTTACACTTTTTTTTGGATCTCCTCGACCCGCTCCCTTTACGATGGCTTCCTTCCGCTTTCCGCTGGGCACAATGCCAGACATTTTTTTTGGTATTGACCATCATTCATCATTAAATTGTTTCGCTAACTGTTTTCAGCAATATTTTGTTGGTGTACGCGTGCTGACAAGCCGCTTCCTGTCTCCTTTCTGTACTTTCTGGCTGAACAGGCGGCGGTGTCCTTTTTGCTACGCTTTCAAAATTTGATGAATTTCTTTTTTATTCATTTCCTCCCCCTTGCAACTTTCTTTTGCTTTTCTTTTCATTTTCTTTTATTTTATTTCCGCTTTGTTGTTATACTTGGTGCTGTTGTTGCTACTGTCCTGCCCGCTAGTTGTGTCTTACAACATTTTTCTAATCAGTCAGCGTCCATGTCCTGTTCACATTTTTTGTTATCATCCTTCGATATCCATTCTCCTTGAATTTTCTCAACATTTTTTTATCCATTTTTTTTCTTACATTCTGGGCGCCATTTTATGCGGGCCACTGATTATGTTAAAAAAAAAAACAAATAAATTAAAGGATGCGGGAGGCTTACGAGAGTCCTTCAGGAGGAACGATTTGGTTAAACGACAATGACGTCTCTATTTACTGAGTCAGCCATTAAACATGAATATGAATATTGGTATGTGATATACAAATATAACAAATATTTTTTTATCCAAGTTTCCTTTTTTCACACCAAGTTTTTCGAAAGTTTTTTAAGTAGTAGATCATAAAATGCTTATTACTTTAATTCAAATTACTCATTCTTCTTATTACTCATGAGTACTACTAAAAATAATACTTGAAATAATGCATAGTTTTTGTTAATGAATGAATGAACAGTTTTTGTTAAAAAATAATATATATCGCAACCACCGAATATAGTTGACTGATCCTTATGATAATATCATAATATAAACAATTTATTACAATAAACTATCTTAAGAAAAGCTTTGAGTAATTCTATTCTTGTTATATTTCCATTAGAATTTGCTTACTAACCAAGAAGTCAGATGATTGGGTTGATTAGATTGGACGTAACATTGTTGGTTATATCTATATATGCTACAGCCTTGATTCTATTTTGGGCCCACCGATCTAACCTACCTGATCGGCCTATTATATACCTACATAATATTACATATAGCAGAAGAAACGGAAATAATTTCACATTTGGCTTTTTAGAGATTAAGGAAAAGATTGGATGCATTTAAAATTTTTTATAAAAATAAAGTTTATAATGAATAATATTTTAGAATCAAACTCTTAAAAGGATCGGCCAACTGCATCCAACCTTTGCGATATACGTAAATATGTATATTCGATCAACATTAACCTTATCTTTCTTGTTCTACCCGGTACTCGTATAGTTTAAGGGTATATTGCACAGACGGACATGGCTATATCTCGGCATGAACTCGTCTGTTGATGCTGATCAAAAATATAGTATATAAAGTATATACTTGTTCTTTATGGGAAAGGAGAGGATTCCTTCTCTATTTTACAAACATACAATATACCCTACGAGTACCGGGTATAAAAACGGTTTCGCTTTAGTGAACGGCGAGCTCTTATTATTAGCAAAGATTATACAGTACATAGATGGGACATCTCATACAAAGAAAAATTTTCTATGGCGGGTTCCAGCAGTGGAACCCGCTGGAACGAGCGGGTTCCATTGCGCGACAAGCTAAATTTGAGAAATTTTTCGCGCAACAACGAATGAGGAATAGCCGAGTGGTAGAGTGCTTGGCTGGTGTGCAAAGTAAAACGAGTTCCAACCAGGCTCGGGAAGTCAATTTTATTTTAATTTTAAATCTATTTATATTATTGTTTTATTATTTTAATGTGTTTTCCTAAATTTATAATCCAATAAAAAAAAATACAAAATTGTAAAATAACCTTAACATCGTCTCAGTTCGTAGTGGAACCCGCTGTAAAAATGTCTATAAGTGCGGGTTCTACGGCATTTTGGTAGGCCGCGTCGTGGAACCCGCTCTCAAATGTTTTCATTTTTTCCGTCGTGGAACCCGCTGTAAAGAAATATCTTTTACTATCCTTACTCGTCAGCTCTGTTTTTGGTATGGATTCTACCGCCTCCTCTAACACCAGTTTTAAGTATCATAAAATCAACTTCGAGGGTAGCCTAGATGGATAGTGCGCGGTCCTTATTCATGGGTCCTGGATTCAATTTCATTAGCGGGCGGTTGTTTCAGATTTGGTAAAGTTTTAGTTTTATGATTCTTTTTATATTTACTTTTATTTTATTATTTTTTTTGTACTTTTAATTTTTACGTTATTATTATTATTTTTAATTGCATTCTATTACAATGGTTTTAAAAATAAGTGACGGACGTGTCGGATGACAAAATACCGGAAGGACTCCCTTGAAATTTTATTAGCCGGACATAATAAAGAACAAAAAAATTTTAAAATTGTAAAATTAAAGAAAAATATTATAATTAAGGAAAAATAAAAAAAAAGTAATTATAAAAGAACGAAAAAGTTCATAGTCCTTACTAGGATTTGAACACAGAAAAATTACACATAGAGTAACTACTCTATGCATTACTCTACCATCCTGTGTCGATCGGCGGCGATCAAAAATACTATTTGTTCTACCAACTACCACATCGGCGCATCGAAAACAGAAACGAGAAATTGAAATTGAAATTTGGAAGCCAAAACATTTTTACTTCGTCGTGCGAGCAGTCACACATACACACATAGTTTCACATTTTTGTTGACGGATACATGTAAAGAGTTCTAAAAAAAAGAATCGTATGCATGTTCGTTTCCCCCCTCACCAACAAGCTCGACCCAAAAAGTTGACCGTTTTGGGCCCTGATGTCCCATCTATGTACTTTATAATCTTTGACAGTACATATATCTACTCGGCTGTTGAGTCAAGCTGTTGAGCTGATCAAGAATATATGTACCTAATTTATACCAGCTCTTATTAGATAGCAAATTCGATGACACACCACGGATTGCTTTGACCACAATCACGTATAAATAGCAAATGAAAATTAGTGCTTGGCTCAGTACTTACCTACATTGCCATGGGATCTCCACTACTAGTTTGGTTGCTGCTCGTAGCCGTCTGTACGGTTTCCTTCCTGGGAGAATCAAGTGCAGTTTGCTGCACCGACTACATGACCCTAAAATTTAAGGTCAGAAACAATAATTGTGGCGCCCTTAATGCCCAGAGGGTTGACGATTTCTGTCAGATCAGAATTTGTGGCGACGGATTACGGCTCGTTGGCTATTATTGTGGGAAAGGGCCGTGCAACGTTTTCGGATGCGATTGCGAAGGCGGCTGCAGGCATGGCGAGTGGGTCGACTCCTTTTTGGCCAGGAACAGGCGTCACAGAGTTTCGGTGGTGGATGCAATCGAATCAAACGGAGCTGATTCTGTTAGAAATACTGCCAAATCGGGTCTCGAGTGGTTGAACCTTTTGAACTATTTCAAGTAAATGAGTTTTTACCATTTTTATATCCTTGCTACCCACAGCATAAATTTTATATTATTTTAATATATTTTTAAAATTTCTATATATATTAAAATATATTTGATACTTGGAAATTGGCAAAAAGAAAATAGTGGTTTTATTTTTTACAGAAAGAAAGAAAATTTATTGTTTGAAGTAAGAAAGCAATGTACAATGTATCTACATTCAGAAGCTATACCAACAGCTTTGATCTGGGCGTTGCGTTGGTAACACAATTGGCGAATTATAAATGATATACCAGATAGTTCTCTCTTTTACAGTCTTCCAATTCCATGCATTCAAAAATGGGGAGAAGATTATTAATTATTTCTCAAATATTCCGCACAACTTATCAAGAAATAAGATAGTTGGGTGATTAGATTGCACAAATGTTGATTAGATTAAAATGAATTCTACACAATAATGAACAATGAATTCTGCCGAATAATTGAATCATCAGATGACGAGCTCGATAAGGCGGAATAATGACCACTGTCTCAGGTATTAATAGAAAACTAGTGCCCGATTCAGTTAATCAATCATAGCCATGGGATCTTCCCAAGTGTTCTTCGCAGATAAATATTCATACTTTTATATTTATTAAAATTATTTTATTGTATTTTATTGTGTATATACATATCTCTGAAATTTGAACTTCAAGAGTCAACTCAATCGTGTCGTTTGATAAAAAACTTTGTTAACGCTTACTCTTCCTCTGCCGCCACCTACTCCGCTCCAGCCGCCTCCTACTCTTCGCCAACCGCCTCAGTTCACCATGGGTCATATGCTGCTGCTCCTAGGAAGACCTACTCAGCGCCGGCAGTTACCCACGTCAGCTACTCCGGCTCTAGCCACGCCTCTGGTTACGGTTATGTCTCCGGCTCAGGTCACCTTCAGGGATCCGGACTCCGCGGTCCGGAAGCTATCCGGAAGCTATGCCTCCAACGGTGGCCATTGATCGGCTTTCCGTCAGCATCCTCCATCTCGGCGCCTAGGTCACCTCATGTTTTGTCTATGAACTCCATAGTTCATACATGGAGGCTTGGCAGCAAATGGCGTTTGATCCCCTCAGGAATCACATCAATCTGACAGTGACGAGGAGAGCCAAAACTAGTCCTAATCTCATGGCGGCGATTTTGGAATAACTAACCCAACTAATAGGTCTCTTGTATTTGTACTCCAATCGTACATTATTTTTGGGAGACGGTTTCAAGCTTCTGATAACAGTTTTTGAACTTGACCCTTAGTTGAGTGGTAAAATCTATTTTTAATTTGGAATTCTTTAAAATTAGATGAATATGAAACATAGTTTGATTCCTAAGGCCCCCTGAATGCCTCCTGAGAAAGCCACCGCTCCAGACCATAAAAGATGATAAAAAATTTCAACACCGACTTTATGGATTTGAATGTGCTTTAAGTATATGTTTCATAAATTCTTATCTCGTACTCCCACAGTAAATTATACATTTTTTATTGTTTCTATTATTCAGAACTCAAAATAACAAATAGGCCGGAGCCGGGATCACAAGGGCGTAGGAAGTGGCGTGTGCCCTCTCTTATTAGTTACAATAGCACGTGTAGAGTAAAGCCCCGAAAAATTCCACCAAGTAATTCCCGAAACAGTATAGAAAAAAAAGAAAGGTAATTAAGAAAAATAAAACTGGAACGGGAAGAAAACTTACCTTGAGCCTCAGCGTGTGTAACCTAATCGTCATTAGTACTTCTACGAAACCCTTCTGTAGCCCTTCTTTAGTTTTAGTTTCTTGCGAACTAAAATACTTCAATTCTATTTATAGAAAGCAAGTTCGAAAATTGAAGTTCGATATTTAGAGAGAATTTCGTTTAATTTTTAAAAGAAAAAAAGTTTAAAATGCAACATTTTACAAAACGCTTTAAAGTTTTGAAAATCTATAAGAAATCCTAAAATCACGTCTAGAATTTGTCATAGCTTTGTCAATTTTGACCCGATTGACTGGAAGAAAATAAAACATCTGAAAACTAACTATAAAAATTTTTTAAAAATTGCCAAAAAAAAGTATATAAGCCGAAATTGATATACTCTTGCAGTTAAGATGGAATATAAACCGCAAATACTGTGCAAAGGTTGGAGTCGATAGCTTATAAACTGACAGACTTGCTTGCTTCAAAAATAGACAGACGGACTTAGGGACACCTAAACTTACCTAAACTATAATAACCTCTGCAAGGGTATAACATTTTGGATTTTCATTTCGTCATAATACTTGCGCCGATTTGTGTTGTGCGATTATTAGATTATTTTATCAAATAGCGAATTCTTAAGGGATTTATTTTTCAGAGCTACGACCACTGGCGGGTATAAATAGCAAATGAAAGCTAGTGCCTGGCTCAGTTACTTACGTCGCCATGGGGCTTACATTAGTTTGAATGCTGCTCGTCGCCGTCTGCTTGGTGTCCTTCCTGGGAGGATCCAGTGCCGTGTGCTGTACCGACAAAATGGTCCTGAATTTCGTGGTAGATCACCACAATTGTGAGTCGCTTGAAGCCAAGAGGGTCGACCATTTGTGTGAGGTCACAGTTTGTGGTGATGGAAGTCTCCTCGTTGGAACTTATTGTGGACGTGGGTCGTGCAATATTTTTGGATGCAACTGCAAAGACGGCTGCCGTAAAGGTGACTGGGCCGAGTCCTTTTTGGACAATCATCCTCACGACGATATTCAACTGATAGACGTATATGTCCCGTCCCCTTCCTGGGTTTCACATGGAGTGTACTATCTAACGTCTACAAATATTTATTCTTCTTTCTTCCTTTGTACACTTCATAATGACATGAGCTTATCAGTGAACTCTTTTGCACCAAGAAGCCTCAAATAAAAAAAAAAAACAAAAAAAATCAAACAAGAACAGTCTGAATGAGTAATTTTTAATTATTTAAGTTAATTATCAGAACCTAATCGTATGCAACCAACCAGCGGAGAGATAGGCGGAAAGACGGCTAGCCTGTCAGGTCTGGATTGAAAATGTCATCGGGATAGGTGTCAATACGAAATCTAACGGACCCTTAATAATTGTTGTTGCAAACTCGGGACCGCGTGGTCGGGCCCGCTACCTGCCTCGGAATTCGTGTAGCATTGTTTTTGTAAATCTTTACGGCTCACTGACCGCGAGACTCGATCGTCTGGCCCGATTTGCTGGCGCCAAAAATTACGAATAACGGGGGGAGCCTTGAGAGCCCGAGGAGCCATAGGCTTGGCCACCCCTGCTTTATAAGGTCAAAGTTGAGTCCTTTACTGCTTTGCTCAATGTTGACCAAAATAAGAATACCCTCTGGAAGGGTATATAAATTAAAGTATTAAAATATACGCCCTGTTTAGTAAAATTAGCGATTACGCAGAAACTACATGGAACATTTTAATGAACATTTGTTTGTTTTTTTTTTCTAAAAAAATATAAATTAATGTAAGAGAGTGCCACAGAGGGACTTTAAAACTCTGGACGCATTGCGCTCAAATCACAGTTTTGGATCTGGCACGCAGCATAACCAAGCAATTTTCAATATATTAGGTTGAAGCTGTTCCAATTTTATGGTATGTGAAATTAAGACTTTTTGTTTAATTTTTTTTTCAAAATTACAAAAATCCATATTTTTAAAAGGGCCTTCGCTCCCCAAAAATCCCTATCCCTTTGCTAGCTATACTTGTGTACTAGATTAATGATTCTATTCCACTTATGCTGCGTGCTGTGGAGGCCTTCCAGAGGGTCTAAGGGCCACAGGTCTGAGGATAGAGACCATATCGGATTTTGTTTTTTGTTATGGAAATAAATGGTTTAACTCTTAAATATAACAACATACCTATGTTTCATTGCTTCTAGTCTAAAAAGCGCTTGAAAAAGGGGTTTCTGTGGTGTTATTCCTTAAGACAAGTAAGTAAAGTGGTAAGGTAAACTTTATAGACGATTTTTGGAAAGGGAAACTTTAAGAAAATCGTAAAATTATACATAATTACTATACACTGTTATTTCTTTTGAATTAAAATTATGGAGCTACGCTCCAGAGTCAGTCCAGATGACGCTATTTTCGACAGAAATCCTATCTGCCTAATCGACTAAGTAGGTGTAAGTCTAGACTCTAGAGTCTATAAGATCGGTTCAGCTTAACGGATACCAGGCGTTGTACTATATCACGAAATCCCCCTTAGTTGTAATTGTTTTATATAATATAGTATTTTTCTCACAGTTTGGAGTTTGGAGAGAATGATAATTCATTCCGACAGAAATCAGTTAAATAGTGCCAACTTAACAGAGACTTTCGAAGCCTTCAATCTGTTCGAAAGTTGGAAGCCAAATTAGTTTAGGAGTTTCGAAAGCTGCCGATCAAGATGGAGTTGCCCAACTTGCCCACCTTAGTAAAGTCTAGTTCCTTATCTTACCTATAGGGCTGCTGTTTATGACACTCAACGTACCGACCCCTGAGTGACTTAATTTTTCACTGAAAAGCGAAGCATACGGCTGCCTGCAAGGCTTGTGGATAGAGTTCCTTTTGGAAAGAAACAGAGAGCACGGCATATTGATCGAAATACTCGATCTCTTGCAGATTAACCATGCAGATGCTTACAATTTGAATAATAAATATTACTATTAATTTAAAAAAATTATATTTGAACAGTAATAACTATACAGAGGAGAGGCTGCGACTCTGGCTGCGACTTGTTTGTTGTGATGAGCTTACTGTACGGGACCCTGGTCCTTGTTGTCCTGATTGAAGGTAGCTAGCAGACTATTCGCGGCTGCCTGGGCGGATGTTTGGGGATCTTGAGCCGCCTGGGCCCGTTCGCTTTCCCGTTCACGCTTCAATGCCTGTTCACGGGCAGCTGCTGCATCCGCGGCCGCCGCCGCCGCCAACGCCGCCTCCCTGGCTTCCTGGGCCTCCTTTGCGGCTCTGGCCCTGGCCTTGGCCTGGCGGGTTTGGAGTAGCTTCAGTTGGGACTTGTGCTTGAGGATCGCGGGAACGGCCGGGGACACTGGTATGTTGCGAAATCGATAGGTCGAAGATGATGGCGAGTAACGAACTGGGTGAGGCTCAGGTTCCGGTAAGGGTACTGGTTGGGGTTTAGGCTCAGGAGCAGCGGCCGCGGCAGTGTCAGAGGCTGTGGTAGTGGGAGTGGCTGTTGTAGTGGCAGGGTCAGGGACAGGGATAGGGTCAGGGACAGGGACAGGTACAGGAGCAGGGGTAGTAGCAGTGGCAAGGGCAAAGGCTGGGACAGGGGCAGTAGAAGTGGAAAGGGCAGTAGTAGGTCCTGGCGCAACTGGTTGAGCTGGATAATTTGGAGCTGGGATGTGTTCGCGATTGAAGGGAAATGGAGTCAGAGGTGCCGCCGTGGCCTGGGGTAGTCCGGAATATCTATAGGCATAGGCCGGTGGCTGGGGCGGCGGCGCTCTCGGCGGCAGCATCTTGAAGAGCTGGGGCTTCTGCAACTCTGCACCTTTTATCGCTGTGGTCATCGGTGCTGGCTTGGGATTCGGCGGCGGAGGACGCAGGGCAGGTGGATTGGGTCGTGACTGAATCGGACGGGGTCGTGCTTGAAAGCGTATCTTATTGCGGAACGACTGCAACTGCTCGGCAGTGAAGACCATCTGGCGTTGCTGGCCGTTCGGTTGCCGCAACACCGCCCGAAATCGATTGGATTCCGGACCTCCCAGTCTGAAGATGGTCACGTTCGGGCCGAAGAGCTTCAGGTTCTGTAACAGCTGGGCGGCGGCGGGCGTGATGTTGCCCACCGGGCGTGCCATTGGCGCTCCCCCCAGGCTGGCTCCCTGCGGTAAACTCGGCATGACGGGCTGGATCATCGGCATGGGTGCCGGCGTCTTGCAAGCTGGAGCGATGAGGGATCGGGACACTCTCGGCGGTGGAACATTGTTTAGGTTCTTAGGTATCCGCCAGGGCCGGTGGGCAGGCTGTACAATGACCTGCGACAAAGTAGACGTTAGTGGGGCAGTGGCATTGGCGGGGAAGGATATTACGGATCTGGATAGAGTTTCGAGAAGTAGTTTCTTCAAGGCAGTGTGATTTTCTCATAAAAGTTTGAAAGCATTTTTTTAAATTTTATCGTACTATAGTACTATGGAAAATTTAATGCATTAATGGTTTATAGTTAAAACAAAAACAATTTAAATTTTTGTTATGGATCTCAGATCCACTTTATTATAAAAGGATTAGCCAAGAAATCCTTAGCCATACAAGTGGAAAAAATGGTATTTTCTTGTTGGAAAGGCTTATAATAATAGTTTATATTTATATGTATTTATATTATATTTATGCTCTTTCTTATAAAGTCAATAACAACATTTTCCTTATCTCTCGGGTTTTAAGACAAATATAAGCTACAAACAATTAACCCTACTATCGGGTTAGGTATTATCTTATCGACATTATAGTTTTCAAAAAAGGTGTGTACTTTCATTTTTTTGTAATGATTATTAGAAGATTATAAAAAAAATCAATAAATTATGGAGATTCAAGTTTCTCTTCAATCGATCATTATGAAAATTGGCGATCGAATCGAATTAGATGACTAAGAAGTCCCAACCTTTTAACTTAAATTATGCCAAAATTTTGAAATAATAATTTTAATAATTATTTAAAGCTATGTATCTGTTAAGTGATATTACAGAAGTTATAAATGATTAGATATGTATATAAGGCACACCGATTTTTGTATCAAACCTTTTAGGTTTTTTTTTTCAAAAAGAAATGCACATACGAGCATAAAAGATAAGTTTTCTCAGAAAAAGCACAAGTTTAAGTAATTTAATCGTTTTACCATCAAATAGAGAGGTTATAACTAAAATTCAATTAAATTTTTGCCATTGTTTTTGCCTAAATTTTAAAGTTTTTTCTAATTCTCGGTTATGATTTTTTTTGGAAAAAAGAGTTTTATATCACGTTGGTTAGGAGTATTTTTATGGAAGTGTTATTTAGTTTTAATAGATCGTGTAAAATGGCATGTAGGTAATTTGGGTTGTTTGTTGGTGGTAAATATATATTAAAAATCTGCTAAATAATTATATATGTATTATATTTCAAGTCACAACGAACTAACACAAATTTGACTTTTGTTTAAACAATTAAAATTTATAAAATTTATGCAACAGATCTCATCTAAAAAGTTGTTTAACAAAGGGTTAAGCTTTTCTTTTATGGCAAAAATCACAAATTGAAAGTAAAACAACAAATTAGAACCTTTCGCCACTTAAATATTTCCTAGCATACTTCTAGGCGGCCAGGTACAGTTTTAAATTCATTTGAGACCCAAAAGCGAGAGCAAAAACTATAAATTTTACCTATTCTTTTGATTAGTTATTAAAATAAATCTTGAAAAAATTAATTCTTATATGATAAACTCACCCTCGGAAATATATCGTTCTCCAACGGATTTAAAAAGTTTTTAAAGTAATTCGGCGGCGGCGGCAGTGGTGGCAGCGGAGGACTTGGCTCCTTGCGCTTTCGCCCACCGCCTCGACCCCGGGTCCCTGCACGGCCACCACCACGTCCACCCCGGCTAACCCGGCCTCCACGGCTTCCAGGGCCTCCACGGCTTCCACGGCCTCCACGGCTTCCACGGCCTCCACGGCTTCCACGGCCTCCACGGCTTCCAGGGCCCCCACGGCTTCCAGGGCCTCCACGGCTTCCAGGGCCTCCACGGCTTCTAGGGCCTCCACGGCCACGACGGGCACCACGTCCAATCCGGCCACCCCTGCCCCCGCGGCTTTCAGCTGGCTTCCGGCCGCTCTTGCATCCTCGGGTCAACACTCGACCCCGGCGCGGGGTGTCCGGTGGGGACCCACCCATTGCATTCGGGTAGGGGAAGATGGGCGGCTGTTGCTGGTGGAAGGGGCGCTGAATCGGGAGCTGGTGGTTGGGCAGCCACCCGGCAGACGGCGGTATGCCCATGAAGAACAGCGGGCTTGGCTGAAAAAAAAACGGCGACGGGGGCGGAACGTACAGGTCCACCAGTTCGATAATGGTTTCGGGCGCGTCCACCATTCTCATGGTGGGCTTCGTCGGCTGCGGCTCCAATGTTTCGGTTTTCGAGTCGTGGGAAGATGTGGTTTGACTGTCCTGAGTGCATTGTGAGGCTGAAGGTTGGGCCCCAAGGCGGCGCCGTGGTTCAGTCTGGGTGGTTTCGTCATCATCCATTGCGATCACTTGTTGGAGAAGATCACTTATTTCCGCATCAATTGCTGCTTCATCTAGGGAGGATTTCCCTCTCTTGGATTCCTTAGGCATTGTAGCTAGGATCTCCAGGAATGAAAAGGCACTTCTAAAAGATACGAAAGATAATCTATTAAATTATAGAGGGTTAATTGAAGAGAGGGTTCTATAAGCTTTAAGTATTTATATATTTCTCTCAGTGCATGTCCTTAAAGTCCCCCTTACCCGCACTCCCCTTCGGCCACACGCACAAAAAATGATTGGCAAGCCGCAAATACTTTGTCAGGCTCAAGTTGACAGTCGTCCTGGACGTCGAGTCCTGGCTCCTTGCTCCTGCCGGGCTCCACTCTCCCCCCCTTGGGTCTCCTCGCTTTTTTGGCTCTTCACGCATTTGACACTTTTTTGTGGGGAACCATATGCCGGGCCAGCTCACACACTGCCCACAATCAACCTCCTTTTTTGGGGCAGTGTGCGCCGCACAGGCATTTGGGAGAACAGATTGCTGAAGATTTGATTTCGGGCAGAGAGCTTTGCCACTGGACTCCGCTCGTCCAGGACGAACACTGGGGGAACAATCGTTAATCTAATGAAAGATGACATTTCATGTGGGCCTGCAAATGTTTATGTCCCGCCACCACCACCGTCCCAAGCCACAAACAACAAACACTCAATCCACACCCAAAATCCTAGATTCCTCGAGTACTGGAGAACGGGAGTCCTGGAGTCCAGGAGTCTTGTAGCTATACTGGTGGCATTCATCATTCCCCCGACTTTGGATTTGCGGGCTTTGATGAATAAGCGGCTAGTTGTTAAGCAGGGGCGGCCCATCACTTAAACAAAATGGGCGTGGCCGGGCTAGAAGGAGCTTGGGGATCAGAGTTCAAATAACAAGGATATTCCCCCAAGAACAAGTCGAAAATTTTAGCAAAAAAATTGCTAAAAATATTAGTCGAGGATTTCATGTTTTTAAAAGTAAGGTTTCAATAGTTGCAAAGTTTTTATTTTTGTAAGTTTTTTTTTAAAGAAAACTTCCTTTGTTATCCTAGACAACCTGGACCCAAGACAGGTGAATAAATTCCTTTATGAAGGACTCGTGAATGGCCATTTTCAGGCCACTATTCCTCTCTGAGATTCCCACATTTTAATCAGATTATTTTAATTCCCGCCCACATCCAGGACATCTAGGCAACCCAGGACTTTCAGGACGTCCACAGTGCACTTGGTAGTTATCCCATCCCATCCTCGCAGCACTCAGTGGCCCAATAAAATTTGATTAGCCAGGACAAGATGGGTGGGCCAAGGATATAAGGGATATAGAAGGAGGGATGGGGCTCAAAGCGTAGCTGGAGGACCCAAGAAATATGCTGGGAAAAGGGGTAACCGAGACAGAGAAGGATACATGTGCCAGGATATTGTGTATTCATGAGGCAGCACCAGTAGCACCAGCACCAGCAACAGCAGTCGAGGACACGACATGCGACAGGACATCGGACGACTTTGGGTTAATTTACATTATAAACTTTGAATATTTTATTGTTTGCCCAGGCTAAGGACACCAGCTGGCCCAGGCAGGCTGGCAGGCAGGCTAGGCCTGGTCTTCGTCCTCGTCCTGGCAAGGCGGAGGCCACACTTATTGACACTTTTGTGGGGTCTGTGGTCAGCAGAAAATTCAACTCTGATTTAATGGTGGCATAAACATTTTTGGCCAAATTATGACAAGGACTGCCGGGCTTGGGTTTCTGAGGGCCAGGCTTCTGAGGGCCTCCTCCTGGGTTAATCCGGTCGCTAGGCTACACTCCCCATAATCATTAGCATTTCCACTGCCATTGCTTGTTAAGCTTTTAAGCATCAGGTTACTAAATAATTAAACCATTTTCAGTTCCGCCAACCTGCTGCTCTCCTCCGACAAGAGTCGGATATTCAATTCCAATTTTAACAAAACAAAAAAATGGCAAATAAAAATAATAAATCATTTTGAAATTGCTGCCGAACTTTGAAATCAATACACCAAGAGTCGCCATTTCATTATAATTATGATGTTTTACAAAACAAAATGCAATGCGGGCTTAGAACTGACTTTAATGGTGTAGGTTTTAGAGCTCTGCTCTGGTCTGGATCGGAAGACTCTCTATATCCACTGTGTATCCCCACCTAATGAGCTACGTGTGTGTTGGCCTTTCAGTTTTTCCAGCAAATAAAAATACGAGACAATTTAAGCCCGGCTTATGGGGTTTCTTTGTTGTTTCGGCCACTAAGCCCCATATATGAATAAACTCATGTATTAAACTCATTCCTCCCCTTGTAACCGAAATTAAAAATTTATGAATGCCTTGTTGGCGTCGGGGATTACGGCAAAGGATTTTCAACGCCTCTAAACTTTCTTCAAAGTGGCGGCCGCCGCCACGCGGAAGCGAGAAAAACTCATTTAAAAAACCGCTTCCGTTTTATCGCGAAAATCATCGAAATTAGCCAAAGAATGTGAGAATAAAGCGTATGCAGGGCCAGTGCCATAAATTATAAATGCAAATCCCGACTTAAGATCGCACAACGACTATAAAATGGCCATTTAATGTCCGCCACTTGACTGCGTTCTGCCTCGATTCCATTTAAAATAAAATTATAGGAATTATCAGCCAGGGGTTAACAGATGTTTGGGTTAACCCATGGCAGTTAAAGAGACTCACCCAACAAACGGCAATGGCACAAAATATTTTCCAACTTCGATTCCAAGGCGATTTCGAATTTGAACTTTTTATTCTCCGTCTGGCTTCAATATCGAACTCGAAGTGATACAGTCTGGGTTACGAATTTCGATTGACATCCCGGACAGAGTCGACTTCCTGTGTTTGGGAATAACTTAAACTTAAATTTATTTCAAGATAAAATAGATGAAAAGTCCGTACATTTTAATCCATCCATTCAATCTTCCAGACATTTTTTTCAAATATTTCCCTTAAAGATGAACAGCCTTAAATGCGAACTGCTGACAAATGAGTTTCGATTTCATTTGCCGCAAAAAAGGACAAAAAATGGATACAAGAGGACGAGAAATGATCCGAGTTGGGCTCCTCACATACATATATTCCTCAAAGTTGGAAATTAAATTAAATTTCTTTATTGGCACTTTTTGCATTCGTTTCATTTCGTTTGCCACGCATATGCATATGCAAAATCCAACAAAAAGAAGGCAGAGGGTGGTGTCCTCAGGGACATGGCTGGGGTGCTGAGTGGGTGGTGGTTTGCCAGCAATCGGCAGCAATAAATGATAAGCTTCAAGGCAACAAAGCCACCAAAATACAAAAAAAAAGGACACAAGGCCAAGGGACAACAAATACAGGAAAATGTCTTGGACTGTCACCCCGAAAAACGAAGGCTATCCAAGTGGGTGGCTGGCAGGAAAATAGGCTTTTCAGGAGCAGGATAAGGGCAGGGGTCGGTCTTCTTGTCTGGGGCTACTTTGCAACAGATTTGCCGCTAACGAAGCGCACGATTTCCAATAATGTGCAGAATGTGCCTGTGAGATGCGGATGCGATTCTCTCCACACCCAGTGGGATTGGATAGCAAAGGGTAGCTTGGGCTCTCTAGCTCACTTCCAATTCCAAACTTCTTAGTCTAAGTTTTTGCTCTTAAAAATATCAACAGTCTTAAGGTTTTTATTTGCCTTTTTAATTACCAACTTTTTGCAAAACTCCTCTTAAAATTAGCAACTTTTTAAAGTGCGAGGTGTCACTTCTTAATTATAGATTCGATAACGAGTTGGAATATCACACTGAATTGTTGTTTATTAAGATATATGTAACTTTGAAAAGCTTACTTTTTAATATTTTTAAGGCATGTTTTTTGGGACTTTAAAATACTAAAAAAAAAATAAAATTAAGATTAAAAAAAAAATTAAGACTCAGGTTCTGTTACTATTTAATCTTTTATCAATGATATCCATAGTACCTTTAATACCTATAGTATCTGTAGTATATTTTATAGTGGCATATTTTAGAGTTACTACAGACACTTTAGATACTATAGATACTATAGACACTTAAGATACTTTAGGTACTATAAATACTATATAATCTATAGAATATTACAGAGATATTATAAATCCTATAGGTATCATAGACAACATATTTCAGGTACTAAAGGTTACTATTCTAACAGATGCTCTTCGTGGTATAGTATCTATACTATATATGTATATAATCTATAGTATTAGAACTATATATAGTGTCTGAACGATATTAAAAATATACCACAGAATCTATTATATCTATAAGATCTCTAATATTTATAATATCTAATATCTTAATATCTATAACGACCCATATAAAACACCTAAACTTTATTTATAAAATCAAAATCTATCAAATCTACTTATAAGTTTCAGATCTATAAGATTTATCAAAAAACTATAATTCATAAGCTCAATTCTTTAATACCTTGAACCCCATATCTAATAGACCTTGCATCTCTAATATATATTTCTTATAGATCCAAAGGATAGGGATTATTTTTGGATATCTAGCACTCCAAATTATTACTTTCCCTAATTCCTTAGTTATTTTATTTTTAAAATATTAATGGATATATCTGGAGTCTAAACTTGTTTGAGGACCTCTTCACACACAGACACATGTGCGCACTGGAAGTGTGAGCGTGGGCGTGCGAGTGTCACTCATAAAACGTACTCCAAATGGACACTTATACCCACACACTCACACCCACACCTACACACACTCCGAAAGCACACACACGTGAAATGTGACTTGTTAGCCGGACTTTGCTATAATGAGTTCCCTTGTGGCCAGCCGTATCGCCTTTTTATGTAGTTTCCACTCCCCCCGGACACACATGGGCAACTGGGCAGCTTGGGCTGGCTTGTCCAGCTGGGGGCGTGGCAGTCGGCAAACGGCGGATAACGGACAACGGCCAACGGACGTCAAGGTGAAAGCCACTTAAAGCCAAGGGCAGGGCTCAACAATTTCCAGTTATCATGTGACATTAATGAAGTGACAGACATCCACAAAGGACCACGATGACAACTCGACCGCAAAACTTCAAGTGCAAATAGAATTCGGCGGGGCGGAGCGTGGGGCAGCTGGGGTGGTCCAAAAGGGTGCTCAAAAGACGTTTAAAGGACCGTGATCTTAACACATTAAGGTACTTAAAAAAATATATATATATGTATATATTTATGTTATATTTAGGAGGCCAAAGTTGTTTGAAATTAAGGATAAGGAAGAATTAGGAACAAGAATTAGGAAAATTATTTTTTAATTAAATTAAGGATTAAATATGGTAATTAATTTTATAATAGGAAATAATTTATAATACTTAATATAACCATAAGTATTTTATGGTTGGTTTATTGCTATATTTTCAAGGCTCTCTACACAAAAAAACACAAAAAAAAGGCTTTACACAAAAAAAAAGTTATTAAATAAAAGATTATCTACAACTCAAAATAACAATAATTATTAATTAAATAATATATTAATTATTTATTATATTATTATTCATATTAACCTCTCCTTAATATTTATATTTTTTCTCATTAACTGATTAGATTTTCTCGCCATGCAATTTTCCCTTTTCCAAGCCAACACAGCCGCTGCCCTTCATCATTTTCAGTGTGCGGTTCTCGGACAGCGGCCACATAAATTATTAATTGCAGAATAATTGCAAAATTGTGTTTGGCCAAGTTAATTTATGCAATGAAACCGCCACTCACCACTCGCCACTCACCGCTCACCACTTGCCACTCGCTGCTTGCCACTTGCCACTTCACCCACTTTTGGTTTAAAGTTCCCGCGTCGTCTTGCCGCTCTTCATTCCGCGTAATTCCTTTGCTCATTTGGAGCAGGCGGCCTTTTTTTTCCAGCTCCTGCTGCTGCTCCTGGCCCGACTAATGAGCCACTGATGGTCATGACCTGACCCTGTCCCCGGCCCCTGTCCACTGTCCACTCCACCCCACTCTCTTTTAGGGGCAAGAGGCAATTACTTAATCATTTGCCTAACGACCGAAAGGCAGGCAAAGCAGCAACAACACCAGAAATTAGCAAAAATTAAGTGAGTAAGTGAGTTAAAATAAATTGAGGATACAGAATGGGACAGGCCAGGACTTTGTCATGTCCTTAGTCAATGCCCCTACCATCTCCGAAAAAAAATATATATGTGTATATTGCGGTAAATGTGGTGCAATGGCACGTTCTGTGGTTTCTATTTTTGAATTTTTCAAACATTTTTGTAAAAAAAAGTTATAGGCAGAAAATGGCTTTCAATTGTATATTTTAGTTCGTTTTTATTTCGTTTCTTTTTAAATACATTTTTCAAATTAGTTAAGTTGCTAAAAAGAATTGGAATGGTTTTCTACAAAATCTACAATAATCAGGTAGATATTTAGCAAAAGGTTTTGCATTTTTTTAAAATTGTTTTTAAATATATTTTGAAGTTTTTGAATTTGTTCTTTTGGGAATCTAGGATAAGATAATGTATGTATACCACCTAAAATTAAAAAAATTCATCTAGAGGGCACCATATCTTTGGAATACTCATCCAAAGTTGAAATATCCGATTTTATAAATTTATTTTAGTGCTTCTATGTTTTTTCCCAAACATTTTCCTATGGAAGTTTTTTGTTTTCTATTGAAATCAGAAGATCCAACCATTTTCCAATTTTGAAAGTTTTGTTTTAATTTTAATTTAAGGAAAAGCTCGAAATAATTTTTTGATAATTAAGATTTAAAAAAAATTAGATTTTTTTAACTTTTTTAACGCGGAAAAGAGTCCTATTATATCTATAAATAGTCCAAAATAGTACATAGCTATTTGGACTAATAGATACAATAGAAGATATTCTAGATACAATAGAAGGGTGCTACAATATATCTAAACTAAAACAAAGTCTAACTCAAAATGATTTATTTTTAATCTTTAAACTTTAGAGAAAAGCTGTTACTATGTACATATATTTTCTTGACTTCTTGGCCTTGTTCTTAGAACGAGTGTGTTGTTATTGTTCTTGAGACTCTCGAGGGAGTAACCAGTATCTGCATGTGCACGCATCTGCATCTACAAGATACCCGCAGTGGGGTGTGTGTGTGTGTGTGTATCTTACGGATTTCTCCGGCTCTAGGCTCTCGGGCGTCTCGGGCCCAGGCAAGCATATAAATCTATTATCCTTTAATTTAGCCACAGAAATAATGAAGCATGTAAGAGTCTTTTGTGTATCTTTTGTGTGTGTGCCACGCCCCCTCAGTGCCCCCTCTGGCACACACACACATACATAAATTCAATCAACGGCAATTTGCCGGCAGAGTTGCTGCAAAGGCGTCGCCTATTCGCAAATATGTGCAATTTATTTATTGTTGCCACGCCGAATACCCAGTAGATTTTGTTGTCATTACCTTGGAAATATAAATTATTATATTTTTATTATTTTTTGTGAAATGATGAAAGCAAAATGCGATTTTTTAAGGGCTAGAATAGCAAACTTTTTGGTGGAAATTTGGTCAGAACAGAAGTATACTGTCTATAATCTCTCGAGGTTTTTGGTTGGCTTTTAAGTTTAATCAATTAATAATATTATATAGAATACCCCTCCCACTCTAAGGGTATTTCGAATTCTACTCCGAGTCCTTCCAAGGCTTTTTGACTCTGCCTGTTGTTGTATCTGCAAATTGAATTTTCGTTTTGCATTTTGTACGATTTTCGGCAATTCATTAAGATCTCCCTCTCTCTTTGCCCCGACTGCTGTTGCACTTTCCACAAAATGCAAATTTTCAAATTCGAAAAAGCTTTTTGAGAAAAACTAGAGAAATAAAAGCAAAGACGCAGTGGCAAAGGCACAAAGCAGCGCCAAATTGGCAATACAATGTGGCCCAAAAGAGGGCCTTTTGGTGAAAACGTTGAGACATCTGGGTTGCCAGTCGCCTTAATTAACTAATAAGATTCCAAAGTTTCATCCTATTTTTGTTTTTTTGTTACATTTTGAGGGCGGAGCATCCTGTGCATCCTGCATCCTGCAATCGCAAAATCTGAATTTTGAATTGTGGTTTCATCGACTGAAACGATTAACTTCTCGATTCGGTGGCAAATCGCATCAAAGGGAATTATCCGAGCCGGACCGATTGATTTACTGCGGAGGACTCTGGACTCTGGTTTTAAGCTGCTCTCCAGTCTTGGCATCCCTTCAGTTATGATTTATGGAAAGGCAACAGGTGAGACACGGACATGGCGAACGGATGAAGGATTATGTGGGATGTGAGGGGATTCCACTCAAAAATGGTTAGAGTTGAATAACTTTAATGGAAATACTAAAATAGTTCTACTTATAATACCTTATATTAAAGAAAATAATAAATACCCCTTCTTCTTCTGGAAATGCACGATTTTTTTTTGTGAAGGAGGAGGTAAACTTTTTGCACCTCTTCGAAAAACTGTCCTCCGTGACGTCAGAGTTGGCATGCAGAAAGGACACTGGCAACCGTTAAGCCCCACTCCCGCTCCGTTCCCAGACGGGCAGGACTAAGGACCTAAGGGGCATCCACAGAGCCGGGACATGCGAAAGGCACTGAGGGAGCAGCGTAGCTGATTAAAATGCGTTGCAGGAGCATAAAAAGCATTGAGTTGCATTTGCATTTATATTGTTTTGACCCCGGCATTATTATCATTTCTTTTCCGCCACTATCTCTCGCTCTCCGTCTCCGTCTCCGACTCCGTCGTCCTGCCACTTTGTGGACACGTAGTTGGGCTTTCAGCTTCAGTTTGCAGGGCACAGTGCTCCTCCCGGCTGATCCTTGATTATGCCCCCGGCATTAAGCCAACTTTTGAGCTTGAGCTTTCCCAGCCGCCGTATTTTATGCCACTTTCTGCGGCCAAGACTTTGCGACTTTCGCGACCAGTTGTGGCAGGACGGTAGGAGGTTCAAAATAATGGCCATAAGCCAGGAACCACAGAGATAATGCGCAGAACTAAACGAGTCAACAGATGATTAGTTTCCTTTGCAAATAAAGGGTCCCACTCTCGGGCATCACATTACCTTTTAACACTCCTAACATAATTTGAAAACGTAGCAGTCGTCGGCCTTAGATGTCACAGTACATTCGTTCAACCATATTCGTTCAAAATGAACCACGTAAGAGTTTCTCCAAAAAAAAAATTATACAAAAAAAATAATACAAACTACCTCTATTTTTGTGTTAGATTTATCAAATCTCAAAGAGTGACTTCGTGAGTAACTGGATCCAAAAGCACTTTGGGGACCAGAATGGATCTTTCAATAGAAGTACTGACCATGTTGGCGGCGGGATTCAATTCAATAATCGACCTTTGCAATCCAGTAACGAAGATAAGTCTTACACCGATAATAATATCATTGACATTTCAGAAGATAGCTGTGAGCACGATGAATGGGTGGAAGATATCATAACAATCGAAGATGATGAAGAGCTTGATAGTACCAGGTGGATGGAAGAATTCGTTGACGTGGAAGACCGCAGCGATATTACTATAAGCCACATCGACGGGAACACCCTCAATGATGATGAAGAACGTGATAGTACCAGGTGGATCGAAGATTTCGTTGACGTGGAAGACCGCAGCGAAAATACTCTAAGCCACATCGAGGGGAACAGCCTCAATGATGATGATGAGGCAAGTAGAGAGGAGGACGAGGACCATATCTATATGAGTAACGAGGCCAATCAGGACGAGGAGTCCAGCAACCAGAGCGAGCTCTACTACTATGCGGACTTGGAATACGAAGCCACCTCTGAGAATGAAAGCAACAACTTCAATAGCAATGAAAGCGTGAATTCAGGCAATCAAAGCGAGTACAGCCCGGAAAACGAAAACAACTTGGCAAATTTGACCAACGACAATGAGAAGAACTCCATGAACGAGAACTCGAGTAACGAGAATACGTACAATCAAAACTCAAACATTCAAAGCGATTACGACACGGAGAACGAGTTCGACTGGGAGCTCGTGACTCTTGCTGAGTACTGGAGCAAATGGAAGACTAATTGCTAATTGGAAGACTAATTGGAGACTAACCTAGATATTCTTTACAGATGAAATGCTGATGAAGCATTTCTCCAAATAAACAATTCTGACTGGAATCAGAATGGCAGCGACTAGCATTATGACCCGGAGTGATCTCGACTCTTGCAATAATCTCCATGAACACATTGATTGATAGGAAACGATGCTGCAGAAGACTCTGGGCATTAGCTACAATGATCAATCCCATAAATAGAACACTCTCCTGAAGCAGACAGGCATCATCAGCTACAATGATGAAGACCTCACAAAAGCAGACGCCTATTAGTTACCATGATGGTTCTCACAAACATAAGTATACTGTACCAAACCAGACACTCATTAGCTACAATAACTATTATCATAAATGGAAGACTGCACCAAAATAACAAACTGTGTTTATATAGATGTATAGCTTCGTAAAGGCCGCAAGCTGGCAAAACAATAAATACAAATGAAAGCTGCAGTATTATTTTGTATACTTTTCTTACACTTTTTAGTCGGTAGCTCTATGGGTCTTTCCTCCATTAAATCGGTTAGCTAGTGTCAGTTTACCAATGACACTTCATATCTGCACTGGCCGATATACATATAATTCATAAATTTAAAGCAGCTGATCCCTACGAATTTAAACCGGCAAAGCGATGCTGGGCTTCGTGAAGAGGCACGCGATCCAATTTAAAAGTAGGGTTGTTGGTTTTTGAAAAAATATCGTATTGATGATATTTGCTGTGAAAAAAATATCAATCGATAATATTCAGAAATATCACCCAAAAAAATCGATATATCGAGTATTTTCGATATTTTTTATAGTCAGCTAAATTTGAAAAAGGTTATTTTTAAATTTAAAAAAGGTTTTAATATGTGTTTTTGTCCGCCATGAACTGCAAATAAGACATATTTTTTTATTTAAAAAGTGAATTGAAAAAACAACAAATATTTATACCCACTCTCAAGCAACTTTTATTTAAGTTCTTTGAAATAAAAAATAACAAAATTATTAAGGACATTGTATTCAAATTTATTTATAAAAAAACTTTATACAAAAAAAAAGTTTCATGGAATTCATGGAATATGTACTTAATAATTCTAATTACTTAATTCTCTTATTTAATGCTCTTAATTACTCTTAATTACAAAATAAATCTTTCTTCAATGATTTAAAAAAACTCTTTCGGTTATATGCTGGTCTGTCATTCGACTACGGGAGTCACAGACAATACATTTAATGGCAGAAGCCAACCGTTCAGATGGAACTGAACTTCCAGGCGTGATAAGAAAACTTAAAGCAACCTTCGCTAGCATCGGCATCGTTGAAATTTGTGAGTTCCAGAATTCCAACGGATTTGTCTCCCAACTACAAAATGGCATACTCAAGTAAACCTGCATTTCCTTTCTTTCGCAACAAATATCGGAGAACACCAACTCAAAAATATTATTATCGACTATTTTTGCCCAAAAAATATCACGATAATAATATTTTTTTAAGAGAAAATATATCGATATATCGATATTTTGATATATTTCCGACATCCCTATTTAAAAGTCCATACTCGGGCCGTAGCTTTTATAGATCTTTTATAGAATAGAGTGACTTCTGTGGAAATTCTGGAACAAAATGTACTCTTCTGCCTCTGAGATTTTTGGAGACTCTGCCCAGGAGGGCTTCTTTTTTTGGGATTTATTAGATTGGGAACCCTTCAACTGGATCTTCGTACCTTCGTTCCTTTTACATCAGGTATCGCAGGGACAGTTACCTTTAAAAGAAGCCGATTAGCAGGCCCCTTCATATTTTAAACCTTGGCCTAGCCTTCGAAGCGGAGCTCTGAAAAGAGGTTTTAGAGGATTGCTTATCAGGCATGTAAGTTGTTATACTGTAGCCACGGATAGTAAGTAAGCTCCAACTGTAGTAAGGATATATTCGAGGACGGAATAAATAAATAAATAACCATATTTTGTAAAATGAAGGGCTTTATGTTTTTATCTTATTGTGGAGCTTTATTAGGTAATCATTATAGGAAGCGAAGAGAAAGGCCATGCTATTGTCAAAACCCTAGAAGACCGAATGGATCTATCTATACATTGATCCGCCTCATCGAGCATCATTTATTCCTTGAAACTATCTCTTAGTCGGAGTTATTGTTGTAGTCCGAGCTAATCCCAGTATCGGTGGCCACTTCAGATACATAGTCTTCGGAATCCACAAAATCTGAGTTCCATGCGTATTCACTGTCCGAATCTCCACCAGAATCCATGGCTGAATCCTCCTCGTCAGAGAAAAATTCCTCATAAACGGACCTATCGTCTTCATTTGAATCATTTGAAGCAAAGCGATCGATTAGCTTCATGCTTTGATCCTTGAACCAAACTAACAGCCAAATCCACTGGTAAAGACGTTCAAGCATCCAGAATTCTAGTTGACGAGCTGACTATTTAAAAGGTTAAAAAAAATTATTCAAGTTAAAGAAATTTTTTTCGTTTTACTCACTAACATGTTAGAAGGATTATTCTTTAATGATTTTATACTTGACTCCCCTTTACTAGAACTTTCAGTAACTGCCATGAGCCTAAACCCAGGTGTTTTTTTCTGACGTTTTTCACATGGCCTGCTGGATCAAGATTTTTGTCTTTCATTATACCATGATGGCCCCTCCAACACTATTATCTTATGTTTTTTGATTTTTAATGAAAATAATAATCGACATCTTAAAGTACCATAAATTAGTAAAATTAGTTTTAAATTATTTTGAAAAAGTTTAAAAAGAAAAACACATGTCCTAAGTTAGATTTCCTTTCAAGGAAAATCAATAAAGTGTTTATTTTTAATTAATTTTATTTGAAACTTATTTTCAACAAAAATATCACATCTTTCCAGGTAGCACTACTTGAGAAGGTCTTTCAGTCTAGAAATTCATGATTCGATATATTCCAGCTTGGAGCTTCAGCTTGCCGACGACTGGAGCTCTGAAGTCGTTTTCTTTTTCCAGTAGAGCCCATTGACCACACGATACTTAGAAAGCACCTCTTCAGGAACAACAAAGGTTCCCCGCAAGGACATCGATAGCCAGGAGTAGGCAGAGGAGTCCCCGAACTAGTATGGATCTCATACCGGCTGTCGCACTGACTCGCTACTTGTAAAATGGCCTTAAAGGTTAAATAGTCACAGAAATCCATTATTATTAAAAAATATTTAAAACCGAAAAGTCATATAAAAAGAATCATATTTTATAATAATTTACAATTGATTTGCGAAGCACATCTTACGGAACATATAGTCATGTTGTATAGACCTATGAAAACCAGATCTCCTTGTTTTTGAAGCGTTCCGTGAAGGTCTTCTTCCAATGTCCGCTGCGGCAGCCACCCTCGCAGTTGCACCCGACGACGTTGCACTTGCCATGGCCGCAGAAGTGACCGCTCTTGATCGTCTTACCGTCGGCGCATATGACGCTCTCGCAATGGGAATAATATTCGTGCTTCACCGAATCGACCGTAACACAGAAGCCATTCGTCTTGAACTTGATGCGCATCCCGTAACAGCATGAGGCACTAGATTCCTGGGCGAGGACAACGATCACCAGGATAGCGCACGGTAGTCCCAATACCCATCTTAAGGCCATGACGGCTAGCTTAAGACTAATCCACTCTTGAAAAAAACACGCTTTTTATACGACTTTCCAGCTCGTACAGTAATTAAGTAATTATTTTTATGGCCTGTACAATCGTGGGTTTTAAGAAAAGTTTTTACTTTAAAGTTTAAACCAAAATACAAGATCTCTCCGAAAAGAATTTGAGGAAAGAAAGAAATCTTAAAGTCAGAAAGTCTATCTAGGGAACTACTTTTTTGTAAGAACTCTACTCTTTTTATTTTATAAAAGTTATCATAAATCTATTAACGAAAACAACTGAATAAATATTGCCTTTAGTTTGTCTGAGTAATAGCAAAGTCACTTTTATAATTGTAGCTTTTGAGGTAGCTTTTAAATATTGGTTTAAAAAAAACTGTGATTGAAAGCTTTGCAACTGTATTACACACGTAATTATGAAAAATTTAGTTTCCCTTTTAATTTTATTAAATAAAAATATATTTGCAAAGTACTTAATAGTACATTACTTTACCAAAGATCTTAATAGTTTCCGATTCCCATAAGCTCTATTAGACAAGGCTCCCAGGAGGCAGAGAAGTTCTTTTTATACCCGGTACTCGTAGAGTACAATGGTATATTGTAGTCATGTGAATTAAGTAATTATTTTTATGGCCTCTACCATAGGGGGTTTTAAGAAAAGTTTTTACTTATAATTTTTATGTTATAGTAAATAACATAAAGAAGGAATCATCCCCGACTCCATAAAGTATATATATTCTTGATCAGCATCTGTCCGTCTGTCCGCCCGTCCGTAACAACGCGTGGATCTCAGAGACTATAAGAGATAGAGCTGTAGTATTTGGTATGGAGACTCCTTAAATACCCATGCATTTCAAGTTTGTTTCAAAATTTTGCCAAGCCTCCTCCCGCTCTCACAAATAGCGAATTTCTGTAGTCATCTCCTACCCTATGAAGTATATATACATATTCTTGATCAGGATCACCTTTTTAGTTGATAGGAGCATATCCGTCTATCCGTCTGTCTGTCTGTTTCTACGCGAACTAGTCTCTCAGTTTTAAAGCTATCGACTTAAAACTTAGCATTTACCCTATTTTGCATGCAGTATATAAGTGGGAACGGTCGACTATATCCTATAGCTGCCATATAACTGACTGATCAGAATGGGTATTTTGTAAAAATACCAATTGGTATTTTTGAATATAAAAGTTTGGGACGTTTTTTTCGATTTGCTTTTACAATAAATTGGTTTTATTGGTTTTAAAAACTATTTCCGATGTTTGCAATTTATATCCGGTTTTAGCTGCAAGGGTATATAAACTTCGGCTCCGCCCGAAGTTAGCTTTCCTTTCTTGTTTTAATATTATATTTTATAATTGTATATCGCCTGTTTATTTATTTAATTAATAAACACAGATTCAATATAAGTTAAGCTAGACTTTTAATTGTCAGAGATAACGTGACTATGACGTCATGGAAATCTATATAAAAGTACTTGCTAAACAAGTTCCTGTTGCTAATCAGCTTGCACTAATCTCCCACAACCTTTGACATCACATCCGTATACTTTTGGACTCAGCGCCCCAATTCCGAAGAAAGCACCTGCATGAAGACTGATCTTTTTATCGGCAAGCTCAAGCTCTAGGAGGATTTAAAAAGCCGGAGCCGAGAGTCCCGCAGCATCAGTTGAAATTATTCCGGTGGCTATTCAAGAGGAAACCTAAAAGACTTAAACTAAACTTAAACTTAAAAGTACGAAAATGGTCCAGCCGGTGGTGCTCTTGTCTGCGATTTGTTTTATTACCGTCGCCCTGGGATCGGAGGAAGTAATACCCGCATCGAGTGTTTTTATTTCGAAAATTAATTTAAATTCTATTTCACAGTCTTGTTATCTTACTGAAGAGCAGGAGGACGACTGCGCGGCGGTCTGTCATCCGATCGTAAAGCCCCTCCTGAGGTACTTTGAGAAGATTCAGGCCAAAGAATCCCAGTTCCAAAAGGAAAACTCAGAGTTGCAGAAAAAGTATGCGGACTTGGAGGTAAGCCACTCGGAGTTGCAGCGAATGGAACTGGAGAAGTATGCCTTTATATCACAGTTACATAAGGATATATCGGACTTACAAAAGGAAAAATCGGACATGCAAAATAGGGTGATTGAAGTCGAAAATCTACAATCTCAAATTGATTCAAAAAATGTGGAAATCAAATTTCTAAAAGATCAAATTAGTGAATTGAATAAAACAAATGAACTTGCTACAAAAATACTTCGCAACGACATTGCCAAATTGGGCGAAATAGTAAAGAATATAAATTCGGATAATGGAAAATCCAGTCCTTCACCAACCAGGACAGTCCAGCAACAACCTCCACCCTCCAAAGGTAAGTTTGCAGAACCCAAGAATGTGAAAAATAAAACATCGAATTCATTAGCTATTCCAGATCGGTGTCCGCAAAGCCAAAATGAAACGAAGATCCTCCAAGAAATCCAAATTCCTGGTTCAGATCCTTTTAAAGTGGTCTGTTACTCAAAGGGGGATGTTGGATCTGGTTGGATGATTGTTTATAACCATTGGGGTAAAACAAATTATTTCAATCGCACGTATGAGGAATTTGAAAGAGGAATCGGAGATGTCGGGACGCAGTGGGACGATAAATACTTTATTGGACTTGAACGATTGCACCTCCTGACATCTAGAAACTCTTATGAGTTAAGAATGAATCCTTACAAATGCGACAGCTTTGTCGTTGGGAATAAAAGCGAAGGCTATATGGTGAAAGATACCAAAGGGTGTACTGGAGACATATTGCCGAACCTTAGGCAAGTCAAGTTTTCCACCTGGGATCGAGATGAGGATGGACATCCCGATCGTAATTTGGCAAAGGAAAGGAGCTATGGCTGGTGGATCGAAACTCGGTATGTATTCTGTTTTCGCTTTATATTTTCTTTTACCTCCAAAAAGAAACTTTTAACTACTTTGACTAATATCAAAAAACCTTTTTTTTAATTAATTTTCATTTAATAGAAGTGCTACGTACGTCACTGCGTTTTATTTAATGATCCGAAGAAAGGATTAAAAAAGAAAACGGCGATTCTTGGGAAATGGGAAAAATTATACAAAAATGCATCGAATAAGTTGTGTTATTATTAATTTATGTTTGTACATATATACATACATATATATTTAATATAAATGTATAAATGCAAAAATTAATTGTAATTTTTGTTAATTAAAAAGAAAAAGTGTCCATTATCAAAAATATATATATTTAATAAGGATATATATTCCACAATAACATTACCCTCTTAAAAGTGAAAAAAACCTTAATAAAACATAATAAAATAAGAAAATAAAATAAAATAGGAAAAAGCATTTTTTATTTTAAAATAAACTAGAAACCAGAACGGAAAGATAACTTGATATACCCTTGCAGTTGAAGTTGATATACCCTTGCAGTTAAAACCGGATATATATCGCAAACATCGGATACAGTTGGGCGACCCTTAGGAGAATATGATAATATAACCCAATTTATTATAATATAAAATCTAAAAAAAAGTCCCAAACTTCTATCTTCAAAAGTACCTAAGTTGGTATTTCTACCAAATACCATTTCCGATCGTTTAGTTATATGGCAGAGGAAAGAAGGGTGTGTGCAAAGTTTCAAGTCGATAGACTAGTTCGCGTAGAAACGGACAGACAGACGGACAGACAGACATGCTTATATCAACTCAGGAGGTGATCCTGATCAAAAATATATATACGTTATAGGGTCGGAGATGTCTTCTTCACTGCGTTGCACACATTTAGACAAAATTATAATACCCTCTGCAAGGGTATAATGATGCTACCAGTGGTCCTCATCTCTGCCAGTGTTTTAATTTCCGCCGCACTAGGATCGGTAGAGGTAATAGGGGTATGGGTGGTTTTCTTTCGAAATTTAATTAAAATTCAAATAAACTCAATAATCCAAATTCACAGCCCTCGTACCATTCGGAAGAACAAGAGGATCAGTGTGCTTCCGTGTGTTCTCCAAGGGTCAATCCCCTCCTGAAGTATTTCGAGAAATTCCAAGACAAGGAATTTCAAATATTTAGAATCTAAATATTTGAATCTAAATATTTGAATCTAAATAGAATCTAAATCTAATCTAAATTTTAGATGCCAAAAGTGAAGTCATTTGACTTTCAGAAAAGAGATTCGGATGAGCTGTTCCAACTTAATGAAGTTAGTGTAAAATATGAAATATTGAAATCAAAAAATCTGGAAGTTGACGAGCTTAAAGCTCGGATAGATCATAAAAATGCCGAAATCAATCTTTTAAAGGATAAAATCCTCCTTTTTCAATCCTTTTTCTTCTCCTACAAGAAAAAAGTGAGCTTGAAATGTTGACAAATAAATATTTAGCGAAGACAATAAAAAAAATGGGACAAATTGGAAAATCAGAAGAAATGGTCAGAAACCTTCTGGCTAATTTCAATAATCAGACAAAGTCGCAGACACAAAATGAAGATAAGATGGCAGATAATAAAAGTTCGGAAAATAAGAAAGTGGAAGTGAAAGTCAAAACTAATGTTGCGAAAACTTTGGATACTAAATAGCTAGTCCATCACTAGCGTCCATCACATTCTTTCATTCCCCACATAACCGCCCTTTCTCGTGGGAGCCCCGGCCAAGTTCTTATGCATTTGCAGGATCCTACATTTTTCACCTTCGAGATCGAGATCAGGATGGAAATCCTAACCATAATTGGAAAAGGAAAATGGCCTTGGCTGGTGGTTCGATTCTAGGAGAGAATTCTACATTTTTTTATAATTAATTTTGTTTTGTTTAAATAATTAATAAATATGAAACATGTATAACTAAACAAGAGTATAACTCAAATAACTAAAATGAAATAATAATTTTAGAAATTTATTTTTCAGAACTAAAACTCCCCGAAAAACTCCCCCGTATCCCCGAAAAGGTTTATTCTATAAATTTTTCGATCCGAAGAGAAGATTGACTAGGGTTCCTAATGTAATTAATTAAAATATAAATTAAAAAATTAAATAAAATTAAACTGTACTCTTATTAACATGAAAATTTTGATAAAAGTTGCCGAAAATTTGTCGAAAAAATACATTTTTTTTTTACAATTTGAAACTAAAGTTTTCTAACCGAAAAAGTTGGAGAAAGTCGGAAAACACATAAAGAAAAACCACCATGTTGAGTCTCAGAAATTTCAGGATCAGCCTGATATGATTTATACAAGACAAGATTTATAGTAATCGTTTTTTATTAATTACTCCCATAAGATTTGGGAGTTTATAAAAGAAAAACCATAAAAGTTAGCTGACCTCTGAGCTATGATGGATATAGTTGGGAGAACCTTGCGGAAATTACTGACACAGATGAGTTCTTAATAAAAATTTTATCTCTACAGTTTTTCTGATCTTGGATTTATTTAGCTGCTATGGAATATACTCCACTGATCCCGGCCATACTACTTTTATTCAAAGTGGAAAGGTAAGCAGAAGGTGCGGAATGTCTGGAGTCTATAGCTTCAAAATTGGGAGACTAGTTCGCGTAGAAAAGAAATAAGGGTTACTTTTACACTACCTAGTTGTAGAAGACTTTGCATCGAGGATGTGGTATACCGTATTATATTTTATCCATAGATTTAAATTTATTTAAGAAAGATTTCTCTGCAAGGTTGTTGATCACACAAGGAGTCGCAAGATTAGTCTTGAACCCATAAGGCCACAGACTGACTTTCGAAGCAAAAGATATCTTATTTTACAAGTTTCTGCAGAACAGTTTCCCTAAAGAGCTTCTATTTACTTAAACGAGTTCCTAAACTGTAGGGCTATTGTAGACAAATTTTGGCACAATTTTGAGTTATAATAGGGAATATTTATAGCCTTAATTTATTGGGAAATGTTTAGAACTACAAATGGAAAATGCTCTCTTCCTGGTTTGTTTGATTTACCACACCACTAGCTTACAAAAATTATTCAAAATTTATCTGAATAATTTTAATAATGAATAATTTTACAGTAACTAAGGGCTTACAAGCAGGACTTTAAAAAAAAAAAAGAATACTGGAGTAGGCCTTCTAGAAATTGAAGTTAACTGGAAACGTCACAGCAGACTTACGGAGATATTATACATTCAAACGACTTACATTGTGAGATAAACAAGGTAAAAAAATTTTGAAAATAGAAACAAATTTTTGACTATCGCCATACAATAGGGAAGAGAAGCGAACTCAAAGTATTGAAGCCCCAGAGTGTCTTAGAAAAGAGCCTATAGTCTGTGGTCAAGAGGTTGTAATCCCTAGGTATGGATGTTGAACGGAATGAGGGCCAGGGGCCGCAGCGGCCGGTTATAGAGAACGATACCGATGACTATGACGACGATGAATCTGAGGTAGAAGCACCTGAGCCATTTTATTATGAATCAGAAAACGATTCGGGGATTGAGAATGACTGAAAATGACGTTACTTTTACTTCAAAAATTACATTATCCATGACTCGAGTTGGCTGCCTTTATGGTAAGGTTGACAGAGTTCTTTGTGTTCAATGACCATTAATGAGCTGTACATACAGACTAGCCACCTTATCAGTTTATACTTTAGCATCTTATCACAATATTTTAATCGGAAACCCTTGAATAACCGTCAGAATAACCCTTGAGTGACCCGTCAGAGTTGAGGTCATCGAGGTTTATATATTTTATTGCTTATATAATTATGAACTTATTAAAATAAAAAAAAAACACACACACATAGTTATATAAATTAAAGCTTGTTCTTGTGGATGGGGGTTTAGGGGGCTTTGAGTAATTTGAAGGCCAAGGAGTACTATTTCCGGCTTATTTTTTTTGTATTTTTTGTGTTGATTAAGCTGGAGTAGTTGCTTCAGTGTTTGGCCAATAAATATCCGCTGAACACAACAGGGCATTAATTCCAGGATCCAGGAACTAGCCAGTCAATCAGCTGCAACCCGGGGGCATCCTGGAGAGCTCATTCGTTCGCCTCATAACGCTTGGAGCGGGGCATGGCCGTTTCCAGAGATCGGTCCACGTAAGCAAAGTTGTCCACCACGCTGGAGAACAGAACTCCACCCATCAAAGCCAGAGCACCACCGATAGCTACTTTCGACCACATGCTGATTTTATTTTATTTTCTTTTTTTATTCAAAGCCGAACCGAACACAAAAAGTATTGCTTGCAAAATGCGCGGGACGCCGGAGAACCCTCGGGCTTTATATAGAAAGTGGACTGCGTTGAGTAGTACTATGACTGGTGGTAGTGCTATTCGGAAACCCCGGGAAGCTTTCCGTCGGTCCGATGTGCCGGCGGTCACGTCGTCCAAACGCCTTCAGGTTCCCGGCTCCAGGTTCCAGGGCAAAGCGGCAGGCAAACTAAAAGCTCCCTAGAATTTTCTGATGCACTTCCTCCGCCGTCACTCCGCCTCATTATCGACTCATTAGATAAGAGCCATTTCGCACTCTGATGGCGAAAAGCTCTAACATATGTACTACAAACATGCCCACTACACAGCGAGAAAGTGTGTACGAAAAAAGGATTAAGGCCTAAAAATTATTTCCAAAATTAAAGAACCATAATTGAAGGATATATTGTGGCTCATAATTGTAGTTCTTGAGCAGGCAATCAACTCAATATAATAATATAGATATACTTTATCATGAAACTCTTTATTTTTTTCTATATAACTTATTGGAAAATATTAAACCACAAATAATTTTCCCAAGTGTATGTTATAAACACATTTCTGCGCAAATCTGATATTTATATATTTTTGCAATGTTTCTGTTTGTTTACCAGCCGGCTCGAAGCTCTGCGTTATGGACTCTGTTTATTAGCCATGTTTATCAAGAACGCCTAATCTCGGAACGGGGTGCGTCACTATCTAAACAATTTTTGCACAAATATTTCTGTATTTCAGGGCAAACATTTAATCGCCAGACCCGACACAAGATTTCCCTTTCATGTTTGCTTAGAAATTTGCACAGGCCCAGCCCTAATGACTTAGTCAGTCTCCGAGAGGAGGAATGCAATGATAATTACTATTGAATTTTATTGTAGAAAAATGACAAACCAGTTTTTTCCCAAATGAAGATTATTTTTGGGTGTGAAAAAATGGCATTTAAATGAATGTACAATGTATGACCTTTACGAGTAGATTTTTCCCTGAGCGAGTGATAAAATATGAAATATTTCAACTAATCGATTGAAATGGCTTTAATGAGAGTGTTGGCTCACTCGCTTTTTGGGCTAATTGCTTCAGCAACAACAGCAACAACTAAAACTAATAAACTATGTTTAAATATAGCCAAGCTGATAACAACAACAAATTGCCAGAGGAAACTCTTCACTTCTCGTTTGCTATTTGCGCGCAAAATTAATCGAAGCTCATAAAGCAGCGTAAACAAAGACACCCCGACAGATCGGACCGGGATATACTATATATATATACATACATACATATATACGGTGGTTGTTGGTGGTGGCGATACAGATACAGCGACAGCAACAGCGACATCGTCGTATGCAGATAAACAGACATTAATAATAGAAATATTTGGCCATACAAGCACCCAGCCAAACGACCGACCAAGCAACCCAACCCACCTATACACCCATCCACCCAACCACCCAACCACTGGAGCCACCCAAGCCATTCGAACCGCCCACGACAAACAGATTGCCGTCATTTGTATTCCGCCAGCTAGCAGTACAAACTACCTATAGAAGGGGGCTACACTGGGAAATATTAATGAGTGTTGATAATAGTTTAAAGTTCATTGGGGTTTCTGAGCTATATGGGGATTTTCTATTATAAAATATTTTACTTTACCCGGTACTTATGGCTACTTGAGTTATAGTAGTAATATGGTTATATAATACAGGGTACTTAAGGCCAGATGAGCTTCTAAAATATAGATTGTTAAGCTAGATTAGAATAGCTAGTCTAGAAACTATAGGAAAGAAATTTTGCAAATGATGCTACTTACGTTACTTGACACAATAATACACCATACTTTTGTCTATTTGAGCTTCTAGACTCTATCTGGATACCTGGTACTTGTGGCTATTTTTAGTTTGGAGACTACCCTTCTCGACTACGTTACTATATGATACCTACGTTACTATATGATATGCCTCTTTATGTTTTATGTTATTTGACTTTATGATACCCGGTACTTAGGAGTGAGTTGTTTTAGGGGATTTTGGGGAGAGTTGCGGTTATTTGAGTATATCATTACCGGTACATCTAGTTATTTTGAGTCATTAAACTACCCTGTTTATTACATTTTGCTATATGAAGTCCGGTACTCATGAATATCTAAGTTAAGATGATATTAGTAATAAATAATATTAGTAAGATATGACACCCTATACTTACCCCTATTTTGTGCATTATTTTTTACTTGACTTTATGATACCTGGTATATACATAAGTTTGCTTAAGCTTCTCAAAGGTTGACTATATGGCACCTGGTATTTATGGCTATTTAAGGTTACAAGCTACTATAGCGACTATATATAGCGACTATAGGAGGCCATTTTTGTCTTTTTAAGTAAAGTTACTTGAGAATATGATACCGGGGCCGTATGCCATAGGTCTTATTGCCAAATGCTCTAAACTTTATGAACCCCGTTTCTTACAAAGATTATTCGACTTATTCGATTATTAAATTTGTTCACATATATGTTACCCAGTACTTCTAGATATTTGATCTTCTAGATTCCCCCAGTGTAAATATTGAACTCCAGTTTCATTCTTTTGGTTTTAGTGGCGCTGCATAATGCCGTGCCGTGGTGCACATTGGAGTTGTGGGCGCAGAGTCGTCTGTTGAATATGTTCCACGGTTGCCCCGGACAACACCTTCCCAGGATGAATGCGAATCCTATTCGGGCTGAGATTTCGATTCAGGCCAGAGTTTGGAAGCCAAAATCATTAGTTTGTTAAACGCAAAAGCCAGATCAAGGCTGTACGTATGTCCGCACGAGTGTTTATCAATCAATAATACGAAGCAAACAAGCTGCTGGCTTATAATCTAAGCTTTTTGCCAAATGTTTATATTTGTTTCCTGTATGTATGCAATTATTGGACAAGAAATGCGATTAGATTGCAAGCATTATTTTGCTCAAGGTTGTCTGCACTTCTAGGTACCTATATTCTGGCTTAACTTAAATACTATTTGGAAGCTCATTGCCTGAAAACCAGAACACCCCCGCGAATGATTGGCGACAAGTCTGCGTTGGCAGGAGCAACTCAATCGACTTCCGGTTGTGCCAATTTTTGGTCTGGGCCAAGACATTCGCGCTACTTACCACACAGCCTAGCCAAAACCGACAACTCTGGGCCCCAACCTCTTGTCAGGCACTCTATGGTTGTGCACTTGGAAAAATATTTTATACAAATATCTTAACTTATTAAGAGTTGTTATCTAGTATGATAACATCCGATTATCTATAATAATTTCATAAGTTATTAAATTTTACACATATTTTTGTTTTTTTTTTTACATATATTTTTAATAAAAATTATTACATTTTTATTTATTCCCTTATACTTACTTGACTGCTGTTTCTGGTATTTTTTTTTTGTTAAAGTGCCCTCCAGTGGAGTATTTGCCTGGTGCGCTTCGTTTGTTCGCTTGCATTTCCTTCCGGCTCTGGAAAAGGCGATGGAAAATTGGCGGCTACCAGAGGAGGAGCCAGAGGAGGGGGTGCGGAGGGAGGAAAACCTCAAGTAAACAGGCAGCAGGCTAAACCATAGCCTAAACCTAACAACACGCCAGATCCCCCAGCCCTTTTCGACCAAACACACCATTTTCTTTTCCGCAAATTGAATTCTCGCGCGCGCATTTTCATTTGCCATGAGTGTAGTGTGTGTGTGTGAGAGTGTGTGTTTGAGTGTATTTGTTTGTTAATTTTCGCAGGAAAATTGCATCTACTCCCCCCCTCCTTGCCCAAACCCCAACTTCCACTCCAACCTTCTAACCCTTTTTCTTTTTTGAAACCGCAACAGGAGAAATGCCAGACAACTTTCCACGTGTGTCAGATGGGCGTGTCCTGCCGTGAGGGGGATAGTGGCAAGGATATAGTGCGGAAATCTTTCAGATCGATAGACAATCAACTAATGATTGCGTGCTGAAAGTTGTATCGAGCTCCGTGCCGGTTACAGATGATAATACTTCTCCGCCCGATGTTTATAAATTCAAGCGATAAACCTTTTCTAATCAGAGGAAGCTTATCCTTTCTATTAATTCTTATCCTGTTTTTAAGGATTAACCCCTTATCTAAAAGTCAGACTCTCAAAGAAAGTACTTGATAAGAGTTTATAAATAAATTCAAATACGATAAGCTTCCGTAATATCAACGACATTGATTGTGGGGGTTGAGCCCGAGTCTTTAGTGATAAGAGCCCTTCCTTATCGGAGCCACCAAGGGGGGGGCCTTGTTCGTGTGAGGGGGGAAGGTAATATTGCATTTAAATTTATAAACAAATTTTGCGTATCTAATGCACTGCGACCTGCACAATTAAATTTTCAATGTAATTTTACGCCCGAATTGCCTCAAATTGCCATTCCCGGACTACCCCAACTATATTATACATATATACTGACATATAAATATTTTTAGGCATATACATATATAAGTGAGTGTAGATGTGCGCTTGTGTGCATCGTCATGCCTCACACTACGGATGCAAATCCGGCCTATTTCTAGGGGTTTTGGCCAAAAACCCATGAAGCGGCATAATCATCATAATCGGGTTGACACTACAAGCCAACGCTTTAGAGTGGGTGTTTCAGAGTGTGTGTGTGTGTGTGTGTGTGGAAAGGATATAGGACATTAGCCAACTCACCGTGGGGTCTCTCACTTCTTTCCATATTTATTTATCAGCGATTAGTGCTAGTCGCTTATCATTGACACACTTACCTCGCCGCATATCACAGAACTGCCGCGCTGATAAGACGGACCAAGTCGATCGATTGGCGGATCGGAGGCAGCTAAAGATATAGAAAAGTTAATGGGAGGTGATATTACGGCAACGGAGGTCAATAATCGCAGCTTTAAGGTGCACCTATAAAGATATGCTATCAAGACTGTGGAAATAGATGGGAACTACATTTTAATAATTTGTGCTTTACATATATTTATGCTTTTTGAACAAGTAGTTTGGTTAATACATTTTATTTGTAGGTTTTGTGTGTATTTTTTTATTAAATTTCAAAAATCGTATCCATAAACTGAACAGTTAAGAAAATATATATTCGTGAAAAGTGTTGGCCCAATATCCAATCAGCATTTGTGAATATGAATGAAAGAATAACTTAAATGTCGGTGTAGACGGTGGCATTATGGCGGTGGTGTTCTAGTTGTCATCCTCAGCACGAGGGCGCGCATATCGATTGGTCCACAATTGAGCATTAAAGTCGTGTTGCTTGCGATCGTGTTTGTAGAGATGGGCAGTAGTATGGTCTGCCGGATCGTCGGGGTTCGGATCTGCCAGCAATGAAATTATTGAAATAAGGACCTTGTCAATAGTCAGTGCCGGCGACCACTCCTTATTGAGAATATCCAGACAGATGTGCCCACTGTTGGTAATATTGCAGTGGTAGATTCTGCTAGAGAAGGTCACGTGTGGTGCTTGAAACGGGTATTGCATTGGAAAAATTATGTTGAGCACGAATTGGCCACCTTCGTACGGGGTTTCTGGGGGCCCCATAATTGTTGCTCGCCAATAAAACAAGTTGTCGTTGACAACCTCCACTCTGCAGCCATCTGGAGGGTCACGCATGAAATTGGCCAGCTCATTTTGTAGTCTTCCAGTCGAAGCCCGATTTTTTCCCATGCTGGATGGTCCTGGGGGTATGGAGTTGGCTGGCTGGCGGTTGTTGTGCTCAGTAACTATGCGGTTGAACTCGGCCACGGCTTGAAGGGTCCCTTCGCGAGCTTCTTGGTTGGATCGTTCCATGGTGAGTTCCACGACTTGGAGCGGCGATCAATTATTATCAAGCGATGAATGAGAACCTGCAAGGAGAAGGCTCATGGATAAATTAAATATATATATATCCTTTAAAGAGAACATTACAAAATTTTCCCTAAAAAATAAGTACAGCCTTTTAATAGCCTTTTGCTTCTCTGGAAAATAAATACATTTCCGCACGCGTTTTCCGGCAAAACAAAAGGGCAACGAGCTCTTTGTATTATTTCAAAGTCAAACTCCGCATACTATACCTTACACCCTACACCCTATGACCTACACCCACACAGCTTATACCCTACCACCCAATCCCCCCTCTTCGCTGTGTGCTGTGAAGTGTGCGCGTTGTAATGTGCGTTAATAAATTTGATTTTAGATTCTCTCGAACCATCAACTTTAAAGTGTCGCTCATCTGAAACTCGCACCACTCGCACCACCCCCCAAAAAAGTGGTACGCCCAACCACCGGGTAGCACCACTCTCGGTTCTCGTTTTTATCAGTTTAATGGGCGGGTCGTAATGCAATTTGTACCCCCTTTTTCGCCCAACCGCCCAACCCCCATCCACCAGCCGCGAGCAAGCCTCTGTGTGTAAAGCAATTTTGATAAATTTATGTGGAATACGCTTTCATGATAAGCTAATTAAATTCAATCGCTGTAACCAACTTGGCCAAAAACCGAAATGCCACCCTATGCCCATGCCCATGCCCATGCCCATACCCATGCCATTCCCTGGAGTCCTCCTGGAAGCCCATAGACCATGGCCTCTCAGTTTTCAGATTTTTGGTTAAAGCTCAACCGATTGCTTCCGTATCGTTGGATAAACTAAAGTGGAAAAATTAGCAACGAGCGACTGAATTTTGAAAAATATACCATGACTGCTTGCTTATCGTTACTAACTACGTATTGAATTAATTATCTCTCCTTAATTTCCATCAAAAAGCTTGAATATTGGCCCAAGTTCTAGGCTTATATCTGTTATATATTTTCTTTTAAAATTATCTCCATTTCACAAGAAAGTAATTTTAATATATGAAACTTAAAGTCAAAAAAACAAAAGCTGAATAATAATAATAATTACCACTGTTTGCAAATCACTATATAAATATATATTATTACAATATTATATACTTATCTAAGGTAGAAAAATTAGCATCACGAGAATAATTCTTTAAAATATACCAAGAATATAATTCATCTGGTACCTTCTTGTATTTTTATGTTTTACGATGCCAACCTTTAATACTTGCAGTATTTTTACATAGTAGTGGTAATTTATTTTTATTTTTTACTAGTTTTATACCATTACCATCTGGGTATTTCACAACTGTTCTTATAAGTTGCATATTTTTTTGTGAACCCGATAACTAAAATAAATCGAAACGATTCTGAGCCACCTCAGAGGGTATCAGCGAATAACCCTGTTGGAAAACTCGTCGGAGAAACCCATTGCGACCGATTTTTTTCCCCGAGAGGAAGACACCTATGGGGGTGAAGAAAACTCTGTCACCTGCCAGGAAACATATATTTCTATGACAGCCATAACTCCGATGATGGCCTGATCGAAGCGGAGTATCATCCTGATCAGAACAGGGTGTTTCCCCCCGGGCCCAGACTTCTGAGAGGGGCCCGGATTTTTGACGAAAACTCAAATAAACTGTGTAGGCTAAAATTATCAAATTATAGACTATACATTAACAAAATTCAAAAAATTTTAATTTTCATTATTTTCAAAAATATTTCTATTATATGGGGGCCCGTGAGTTGTACCCCCCGGGACCGAAATTCAGTTTTAGTGAATTATTGGTTTTAGTAATATTCGCTTATTCTCACTCCTATACTTATTTTCCTTCAACTTGATATGAATTTTTTATTCCACGGACATATGTTGCATACTTTTAGGCTTCTATCGTTTCTTTCTCTCTAAACCCGTCTTTAAGTGGAACATTTTCCATTCCTGACGAAACTTTAAGTTCATAACATTTATTGTCAACCGAAAATGAAATTTTTGTGCAATACTGCCATAATATTCATTGACGATTTCCCCCAAAGCTCTGTACATTCGGCGCAACAACACGAATAAATACAAACAAAAGGAACAACAAGCGAAAAAAAAATAAATAAATAATAACATGTGCCATTAACATAATTATAATTAGGCCTGACAAGCGAATTAAATTCAATTTTCATTATTTTTAATGAAGAATTGCAAATGCTGGGGAAAAAAAAGCGTTGGAAAGCGGAAAAGGGCTTTAGTTGCGGGAGGAGAGAGATTTGGAATAAAAATAAAAAAAAGAAACACGACCACATCAACATATTTATCGCATTTGGTTGCCTTCGTGTCTTGTTGCATATGTTTGGGCGTTCATGCGTGAGCCCGATTTGCATATTGTTGTCCTGAACACAAGGATAACGATGATAAATCGAACCTAATGGCAGTCGGCTGTAGAATGGGGTCAGCCCAGCAGACTATTCTGAAAAAAATAGGAACTTCACCCCTGACTTGACTTTAGTTATTTTTTGGATTTTTCAAAAATGATTACATAATTTATTAAAAATTACCATTACAAACAATAATTTGTGTGCTTGTCTGGCTTGTCTCCATGGCTTGTCATTAAAGAAACACAAACAGAAAAGGGCTTTGGGGGATTGGGGATTGGTTTTCTTTTCGCACTTTTTGCAAAAATCAGTAGACGATTTCAAGTTTCAAGTGCTGTTTCATAAACCTGCCGGTCATCGATATTTGCCAACTGATGAAGTACTCTGGCATACATATAGGCATTGTACATACATAAATACATATATCTGATGTAAGCAAGGCCAAGTAATCCCAAGATCTAGACAAAATATTATCACACATTGCCGTTGCGAGGGAGAGGGAGAAAGTTTATGGTTTCGTTTTAATAAAATATGGGAATTATTTATCAACCGTTCCAATCCGAGACACACATTAATGTTAAATGAAATAAAATAAGTAGAGAAACAAAAAACAACACAAAGATTTGTGCATTTTATGGCCTTAATTAAGCAGATGTGCAATATTATGCGGCTTGAGTTTAGGTTTGGGTTTAGGTTTTTGTTTTGGTTTTCGGATTTCGCTTTAGTTTCTTTCACTTTGACCCGAGAGAGATGGGGCCATTTGCATAATTAAGCCATCTAAAGTGTCTTGCCAATTTGGTGCACGAAAGTGCGAAAAAAAAATGGCAAAATAGCGAACGGCGAACGGAGTGCAGAAACCGGTTGCTGGTGGGACACCTGTTGGGCTTCCTCACCTGTGTTTTCCATCACAGACTTTACTGCTTGGACTTTAAAGGTAAATAAGGGTCTCAGGGAAAGGGTTTTTGACAAGCTATTATTATAGAAATAATATTGATTTCCTCAGTCATCATTTTTCTCCATAAAGTCTAGCCAAAACCTGATCTTGAGGTAGCTCCCTCCTTTTGATTAATAGCTTGGATGATTAAGACTCTCTTGGAAAAATCCTATGGAAAAATACATATGCATCGCCTCATTATTATGCTTTAGGTCTAGCGAATGTCACTTTAGTTACGAATGACCTCCGGATGGAAGATGGAAGACGGGGGCGAATGGAAGACTCTTTCTCTGATTTTAGCATTTCTCGTGGAGATTTGTGCGATGACCCAGATATTGGATATATAAATAGTAGCCCCGGGGCACTGTTGGATCATCAGTTTCCGAGCTTAGCTCTACAAACCCACTTCCTTTTCCATTGTCAAGCGGCAGTTCCAAACCCAAGCAAGACCGACAACAAGATGAAGGTAAAGGATTCTCAGATAAGGGATTTTTAAATTTCTAAAAAGTGTCTTAAGAGTGATTTTTGTTTTGTTTTTTTTTTATGTGATATTTTATAAAAAAAAAGTTGGAAAGAAGGGAAGTCTTGGAGCTATATCTCCTAATAATAATCCCCATTTCTTCCAGGTGTTTGTGTGCCTGATTGCCTGTTTCAGCCTGGCCCAGTGCGGCTTCATCGGAGGCGGCGGTAGCAGTGGCTGGTCATCTGGAGGTGGCGGTGGCTGGTCCTCCGGCGGTGGATCCGGCTGGTCCTCTGGCGGCGGCAGTGCCCCCACCATCATCAAGGTCATTAGCGAGGAGGCCGGCCATGGACACGGCGGCTGGGCAGGTGGCGGCTACTCTGGTGGCTATTCCGGCGGACATGGTGGCGCCGAGGAGTTGAAAATCATCAAGGTTATCAGCGAATCTGGCGGTCATGGCCACAGTCACGATCACGGTCACGGACATGGTCACGGGGGCGAGGTGAAGATTGTCAAGGTCATCCAGGAGGAGGATCACAGTCACGGTCACGGCTACGATTACTCGAGCGGAGGACATGGCGGCCAGGAGGAGATCAAGATCGTCAAGTTGATCAGCTCGGGAGTTGCCAGTGGCGGACACTCCTCCGGAGGATGGGCGCCAGCCGGTGGTTGGGCCTCAGGCGGCTCCGGTGGCGGCTGGTCCTCCTGGTAAGGACTTGTAAGAACATTCCCCCAGCCAACCACCAGTCAGGCATCAACTCCCTTGTTTCTGTTGTTGGAGTTTCTGCCACTTTGGTATTGGCCTTTTCCATTATTTTTAAGACTAGCTCACGTTTTCTGTGTGTGAACATTTTTTTCTCGTTAATAGTTTAACAAATAAACCACCAACAATATTAAAAACAACAAGAAAGCAAAGCTAACTTCGGGCGGAGCCGAAGTTGATATACCCTTGCAGCTAAAACCGGATATATATCGCCAACATCGGATATAGTTGGCCGATCCTTATGGGAATATGAATATATAATCCAATTTATTACAATACAAAATCTAAAAAAAGTCTCAAGCTTCTATCTTCAAAAATACCAAAGTTGGTATTTCTACCAAAAACCATTTCCGATCGTACAGTTATATGTCAGCTATAAGATATAGTCAACCGATCGTTATGAAATTTGGTAGATCGGATTAACTGACCAAAAATAGAATGTGTACCAAGTGCCAGCTTTCTATCATCAAAAACACGAAAGTTGGGTCATTTTCGATCGTTCAGTTATATGGCAGCTATAGGATATAGTCGGCCGATCCTTATGAAATTTGGCATGTCGTATTATGTTGCCAAAAAAAGCTCTCACCTAAAATTTGAACTCTCTAACTTTAAAAACACCAAAGTGTTATACCATTTCCGATCAATCAGTTATATGGCAGCTATAGGATATAGTCGACCGATCCGGGCCGTTCCGACTTATATACTGCGTGCAAAGGAAAGAAGGATGAGTGCAAAGTTTCAAGACGATAGCTTTAAAACTGAGAGACTAGTTCGCGTAGAAACGGACAGACAGACAGACGGACAGACGGACAGACGGACAGACGGACATGCTCATATCAACTCAGAAGGTGATCCTGATCAAGAATATATATACTTTATAGGGTCGGAGATGTCTCCTTCACTGCGTTGCACACTTTTGACCAAAATTATAATACCCTCTGCAAGGGTATAAAAACACAGCAGTCTTTGACTACTTTTTTTGTTGGGAAGATCCAATAAATGATAACTCATTAGTCATCTCAGAGGGGGATTTTTCTGAGGTGATGATGTTGCTTTCCAGTTAACCCATTTATGATATTATATAATTTATTTTTTCACAATTGAATAGTTGTCACAATGAGGTAGTTATTTTTTAGGTAAAGAGATTAGCTTTTTTTTAAGGGTTTTTAATAAAAACTAAAGTAAATTCGAAAAAAAAATTTTAAGAGTGCAGATTGATGTAATGGTAGACTAGGCTAAAATAAACAAACAAACTTGAAGCTAGAAACAATGATTTATTTCTCTTTTGAACGAAAAATTTTGTTTACTTTACACATTACATTGAGGAGGATTATTTAGGATTCAATTTTCCAGAAGAAAAAATTAGTTCCAATCTATTGAGTTTGGCTTAATACAATAAGAAATAAGGAAATTCTAACTATAAACAACACCTTTAAAGAGTCAGATCACTTAGACCAGAAGAAATATAATATCTATGGTATGGTTTTCTACGAAACGGCCCAGAAACACAAAGTGTTTGGAATAAATGGGCTCCAATCTGTCATCATTTTGGATGTAAAAACAATAGAGAGCAAAGAAATTACAATAAATACACTATACTTTCAACAAAGTTGCAGAATAAATTGAACTTAAAAGTCTTGTCTTAAAATATTTTAGGTATCTTTTAAGTTCAAGAACAAAGAAGTTTTATAAATAACGTTTTCAAACATTTATGGATAGATCTTTCCTGTAAGAAAACGTGAAAAAATAAAAAAAAAAACAAAAACACTGTTTTTCGAAAAACAGTGGTCCATAGTTTAGAGATATCGTTTTCAATAGAAACAGTGTTTCGAAATCAATGAGTTTCCATCTAGCCATTTTGATGACGTTACCGCTAAATATGTACAAAAGCATGCCCCGAAACTCTATAAAGAACCTCTTCAGGAAGTTTCAGACGAACCAGTCCAGTAAAAAAATAAGTTACTATAGTTATAAATGAGTTACGATCAGTTACAGCTTGGAAGTTGGTATAGAAAAATACTTGTTCTTATTTGGAAAGACTATTGAAATTGTAGGAAATTAGGAAATCATATACATAGACCTGTTACTAAAGAGTTATACGTAGTAGGATTTAATAAAAGATCTTAACATTTCTTTTTAAATATTATAATCTTAATATGTATGGGAAGTTTGTTTGAACATCGGGCCTATACATTAGTTTTTGTGTCCATGTCAGAGTGCCATAAGGGGAACCGGGGTATTTTAAAAGTGATTTTCTGAAAACCGTGTTTATCAAGTTAGTAATCTCAATTTTCCGAAAATGAATACTGACTGACTGATCAGTTTGAAATGTTTACTGTCTAAAAAGAGGGAATTCCTTATAAAGCTTACAGATGCAAAAAAATTAAATAAATAAGTAAAAAGTTTTACCTGTTCGGCTTGGTATTATCCTTTTCGGCTTGATATTATCAACTTGATCCTCTTAAATTTTTTTCTCAACAGTTTTATTCCTCAAAAAAATTCTACAATTGTTTCTAAAATTGGTAATCTCGATTTTCCACAAATGAATAAAGACTTACTGATCAGATACAATTTGTTGCTGTCTAAAAAGATGGCATTCCTTATAAAGCTTACACACGTGAAACAATTAAATAAATAAGTAAAATTATTTACCTATTCGGCTTGGTATTATCCTCTTTCGGCTTGCTATTATCCGCTTTAATTTCGCTCAACAGTTCTATTCCTTAAAAAATTCTAAAATTTCGGCTTTTTGGGTATAAAAATATAAGTTAACCTTTTAAAAAATACAAAAAAAAATAATGAATTATTTCTCATGGCTACATAGTATCACAAAATTTATATTTAAATTATTTAAATAAATGGGAAAATACTGGTATTAAGGGTAAGGTTTTCTTTTAAAATAAATATATGTATGATTCTTAACTTTCCAATCACCCTATAAGTCATCCCAGAAATAATTACTCTTGACCAAAACAAAACTTAACCCATTAATCGAAGCTTAGTCAGAAACGGGTTAAAAGCCAAGGTCAAATCGTGGCCAGAAATCATTACCGTCTGGCAATCGGCAATTATGTTCATATTCTGGCCCCCCTGCGAGGGCTGAGACAAGTAGTTCCCCTTAACCAGCCAGTCGATATAATTGTTTGTTGGATTTTCACAATTATTTGATGATGTCTTGGACGCCGCAAACCAGTTTCGTGGCCAAAACACAGACTTTTTTTTTTGAATTTTTTTCAGGTAGCATGAATATATATTTTGTAGCTTAATTTATGGATACTTGGACTGATAGTTTGACTAATTAAGACTGGTGTTTTTCCTCGTGCATGTATGCTAGACTACCGCTTGAATTTGTATATGTTTTTAAGCTGACAGCCTAATGATTAACCGTAAGGTTACATTAATTTATTCAGTGCCGGCAGAGATGTTAAAGTGCGTTTTATGATTTAGCTTCACTAAAAAAATGAATAGTATTATGAGGGGGAATGTATAATTAAAGTTGTTTATTTTTTTGTTTTTTGATGCAATAAACTGTTAATTAGGAGTCTTGAGTGAAAAATGAATTATATTTAGCAAAAAAAAAATAATAAACCATAAAGTTGCAAATCTCCTGTAACAATTCTCAAGCCTTTTGGGTTTTATTTTAAACTTTAATTGAAAGTGATTATAATAGATTTTGTAATTCATGGCTTATCGTGCAGCTGCGAGGGCTATCGCCTGGAAATGTATGGCTCATCTATCAGATCTATCGGAGAGTGAAGGTGAATCGAGTCGGGCCGCGACTATGTAGCCGACAATTAATAATAGCATTCTGCCTGACCCGGCATCGACACTGCGGGCCAAAAGTTAATGGCCCAGTGTTGGTTCGCGTTGCTCGAATCAATCAAGATCCAAGCCGAATCCGAGTGATGGAAAAATTATTAATATTTCCAAAGAACTACAGTACTAAGTCGGTATATCTTTGTTACTTATTATTTAAGTAGTTTTTTTGGAGAGGCATTTAATAAAATTTTAAAAAAATCTCTTTCTTTTCCAGACACTTTCCATCTCTAACTAACCAAGAGCTGCTACCAGTTTATTGGAGCACGCTGCGGGCTGCTATTTTGTTTATTATTTTTTGCCAACTTTGTGTCGATTTGACGGTATATTGCATAACCATTAAATGTTTTTGTTATTATTATCATTTTTTTTTTTTCATTCAACAAGTGCAATGTTGGCCGAAAGGGTTTCAAACGGTTTTTAACCATTTCTTGTTTTTTTGGTTTTGTTTTTTTCGGGATGCAAGTTAGCTGTTCGGATTGCAACACAACCTGAGACATAAATTAGCTCATTGGCAGTCAGGTGAGAGGGTTAAGGGGTTGGTGGATGGGAGATGGGGGGATGGCTAGGAAGACCCCTGTGGGTGGGGGGTGGGGCGGGGTCAGGGCCGTTGCCCTTTTGCAGACACTGCTGATGGCTAATGGTAATGGTAATGATGATGCCGCAATTCGAACGGAGCATCGCGTGGACCGGCAATTAGTGTGTCATACATATCCGCACAATGGGCTTAGATAATAGAAAGTGCACTCAAAAAATTTTACATATAATGATATATATAGGTGGTATTCCTAATAAATAAGAGAACGGTCTTACCGATTAAGACGTCCTAAGGAGGAATTCTTTCACCAAACTATTGGTGATTTGTACTTCTATTTTGAATAATAATTTCTAAAAACTTACCTAGATAAGCTCTATTTCAAACTGTCCAATTTAGTTTTGTCTTTAGTTTAGTTGTCGTTCTTTTACTTGTTTATATTAATTTGCAAAGTAGGATATAGTCGAAACACTTGTTATTCTTTATGATTCTGATTTATGATGAAGTAATTTTCCAAGTAAACTCTGATCAAGGAATATGCAAAGTAGGAAATATTTGAAAGGCCTGTTTTTCTATATGATTCTGATTTATGATTAAGTAGTTTCTCAAATTAACTATGATCAAAACTCCAAACATGGGCTTTAGGGCTTTTTTTTTAACAAGAACTTCAAAATAAACTCCATTCTTAAATGTGTAAACAACATGCCTTGAGGAAAACACATACATATGCACATACATAAACAAACCACTTATATTTTAATTTAAATAGGCAATAGGCAACAACTATTCCAAAATTTTTTTTTTTTTATTGATTTTGTATTGTCTGTATATTAGACATTGTACATATATGTATTTTCTAGTAACATTTCAAATACCACATTTATGGTATATTCCTTGAAACTAAGATTTTAAAGTAAGCTATACTCCAAAAACTTTAAAACTGTTGCAAAACTCATATGAAAATATTTATGTCTATTTTTAAACCCTTTTTCCGAAAGATTTTACCATAGTTAACACTATTTCAAAGTTTCTAAAACATATGCCCATATTTTTCCCCATAAGCCCCATTAATGATATAGTGGGTGGTATTCCTAATGAGGAAGGGAACAGTCTTAGCGATTAAAACGCCATAAGGTGGAATTCTTTTACCAAACCGTTGTGATTTCTATTTTGTATAATAATATTTAAAAACTTACCAGATGTTGCTCTACTGCAAGGTGTACGATTCAGTTTTTTTGTCTTTATTTTAAAATTTTTTCTATTATTTTGCAAAGTAGGAAATATATTTGATGATCTTGTATTGCTTTATGATTCTGATTTATGATGAAGTAATTTTCCAAGTAAACTCTGATCAAAACTCTAAACCAGAGGTCGGCACCCCAATACATTGATATGATTTTACCGCATTAGTGTTAGTAACGTATAGCAGAAAGTAGGCTTTGAGCATGACGTTTCACACATTTATACTGTGTGTGTGTGGCAGAGCTCGGGCAGAGAAATTTCCTATGCCCCCGAGATAGGGCCGTGCCGACCTCTGCTCTAAACATATTGTCAGTAAAAATAGTTATGACTTAGGTTTTTTTTTTAACAAAGTTTCTAAAAAATATGGCCATATTTTTCCCCATAAGCCCTATTTACATTTTATTTATAAATTCCATAAATCTTTTAAATATATAAACACATATATGTACATAATTTATAGACCGATAAAGGAAGAATACGTAATAGTAAACACTTATCCAATAATCCCTGAAAGTTACTTTTAAACGTCCTTTAAAAGAGTAAACTCTATTTTTTATATATGTATTTAGTTTCCATGAAACCCATAAATGTTGATATATATCTATCTATATTTATAATATTTATTTATATTTATCTTTAAAACAAAATTTATAATTAAAATCTATTCAAAAGTATCTATCTCTACAAATAATCCCGAATAAAGCCCATTTATAATTATATATCTTTCATAAGCCGTTTAAGCTATTATATGAAAACAATTTCTTTCTTCCACTTCCAAGCCCACTGTTCGCCGCGCGCCGTAAGGGCAGGGCTAGTCGATCTGAGCTGGTTACCGAAGCTTCCAAATCCAAGTCGCCCAACCAAAATCTTGGCCATAAAAGCAACGGCCAAAATCTGCAAAGCCACAGTCGAAGATCGCCCCTTCAACCGGACACAACCGGACAAGACAGTGCTCTCTAAAATTGTATACACACCAACTGGTCGACATGAAGGTGCGACTCAACAATTTTATTTTTTTTTCTTTTTTTTTGGTTGTGAATTATAAGTGAAATATTAATATCCTGGCCATTTATTTGCAGGTTTTCGTTTGCCTGTTGGCCTTGTGCGGATTGGCCCACGGCGGCTTCCTGGGCGGCGGCAGTGCCGTTAGTTCCGGCTGGTCCTCCGGCGGAGGATATAGTGGAGGCGGTGGTTACGGCGGCGGTGGCGGTGGCCATGGAGGCGGTGGTTATGGAGGCGGTGGCTATGGAGGTGGCGGCCATGGAGGCGGTGGTGGCTATGGCGGCGGTGGCACCGTTAAAATCATCAAAGTAATCACCGATTCCGGAGCTGGAGGCGGCTACGGTGGTGGTTATGGAGGCGTCGGCGGCTATGGAGGCGGTGGCCATGGAGGTGGCTGGTCCTCTGGCGGATCCGGTGGCTATGGAGGCGGTTACAGCAGCGGTGGCCACGGAGGCGGCTGGTCCTCCGGTGGAGGCGGCGGCTACGGAGGTGGTGGCGGCTACGGAGGCGGTGGCAACGTCAAGATCATCAAAGTCATTTCCGATTCTGGATCTAGCGGCGGTTATGGTGGTGGCGGCAGCTACGGCGGCGGCCATGGCGGTGCCGGTGGCTACTCGTCCGGCTGGGCTCCCTCGGGCGGATGGGCCCAGAGCGGTTGGTAAACGATATCCATAGCCAACATTTGTTATCTTACCGTTCAGTTCGCAATGTAAATACTTTTCAATTAATAAACAAAATTATAAAAATAAAAAAATCCTTTAAAAACAGCAATTAATGGACAAATAATGTAACCAAAATTTCCATTTCAGATTATGAGTAATAGAATAAGAGGATAACCATATAGATATCGGATGAAAATGGATATCTTTAAGCAACAATAAATAACACATCGCGCCCTAAAATATTTCAAGATTTTATAGACTTTTTAAAAAAGAAAAAATGTTCTAAAAGATTTTGATGCAGGATTTAGATTTAGAAATCGTTTGCAATAGTCCGCTTCAAGAATAGCTATAACTTGACAATGCTTAGAATGCTTCTTTAGTTTTAAAATGGGGTTCGTTGCACCCATAAAGTGTCCATGGACAATCACGGTTCATGGACTTAAAAAACGTCTTTAAATCAACGTCTTTAAACTAAAATCAAATCACGAAATGATATATGTACATATGTAGTACATATGTTGCATAAACAGGGGCTATTTTGATATCACGCTTTCAAGACTTCGTGATGGCCATCGCTTAAATATATGTAGTATGTATATGTTATACATTATAAAATAGGTAAGTTTTTGAAAACCTTAATATGCTTAGGACAAAGGATTAATAGACACACGCGAAACGCAAAAACAGAAATAGAAGAAATTTTTGTAATGAATAATAGTGAATAATAAATCATTTAAACAAGAATTGTGGTTTAAATTTGAAAGTCTTAAAAACCTAAAAATAAAAAATAATATATATTTTTGGCGGAAACCCGCCAGATAGGAAAGGGATAAAAAAAAGGCAAGAGTATTGGAAAGCGCCGAAGCATAAATCGAAGCCCTGGTCGTTTTCCAATACAGATACACATTTCGCAACACTATTCCTACCGTTGTATGAAAAGAAACGATAGATTCCAAAGTTTTGTGTGAAATAAAATCTAAAGTAAAAACAAAAGCAAAACTAAAGCTATTTGTGTGATAACTGTGAATTAATTTATTTCTGGGTCCTTCTCCCAAACTTGAAAATAAGCCTCTGTTCCAATAAAACACTATTAGTAACATTGTTCATCCGAAAATTCTTGAAAAATAAAATTTAAAACAAGGCTTAATTTAAAACTAGGAATTTACAGCGCAAGTTTCAAGGACCTCCTCCTTCACCATCGCCGTTCATCGTCGCTCTCGATATCGCTGCCGCCGTCCCTATACCTATTCTTTTATTTTGGCACTTGGCTTTCAGGACGCGCCAAGAGGCGGCGAATGTCCTCCTGCTCGGCCACCTCCACATAGCTCTGTCCACCCGGAGTGCGCTCCGTCCGGCTAGCGCCCACCTGCAGCAGAAACTCAACGCACCCGGTGTGACCCTCCCAAATGGCGGCCAGGAGCGGCGTTATGCCGTACTTGTCCTTGCGGTCCACCTCAGCCCCCATATGCACGAAGAACTTGAGGAGCTTCAGCTGCCCAAAATCGGCGGCATAGTGCAACGGAAATCGTACACCCATCGGATCGTTTACGTTTCGGGGCTTGAACCCGGCATCCGAGCCCGATTCTGTCTCTGACTCGGGCTGGCCCAGGAACGCCTTCTTAACGGCCTCAAACTCGCCGTTCTTGATCGTCCAGATGATGTTCTCGATGTTCTCGCCCATTTTACTTAATTTGATTTTAACTTTATATTTTAGTAGTCACCTTTCTCGTCTGAGGTTCTCTGATCAATGTAGTATGTGGGTCGGTCTGTTGGGTATTTGGTTGTGAAGTCCCTTCCCCAGCTTACTGGATGTTTTGTATAATTTTGATTGAACAATTTTCTCTAACGATTCGCCCGCTTTTCGGGATAACCTTCCTCCCAGAATTTTATTTATCGACGATGGTAACCCACAAAATTTGACAGTTGTCAGGTGCTGCTGTTGTTGGAATTGTTTTTGTCTTTTTTTTTCCGTTTTTTGTCGTGTTGTGTTAACCCTTCGTTAACCCCATACGCATGTCGGGCCAGCTGTCCCTCGCCCCCTCTCCTTAACCCATGCTGTCGTACATATAGAGATACATGTGTATGCCCCTTACTGCCCCGCACCAAAAACTGACTGCCATCTACGCGCCAGACGCAATTTGTATGCAAATTTCCATGAGAATCTCAACACATGCAATAACAACAACACAAAGGACACACAGGAGGAGCAGCAGCAGCAGTAGCAGTGGCAGCATCAGTGGCAGCAAAAAATTGACTGAGCATGAATGCAGAGGAAGTGGGGGGTTTTGGCAACCAATTGGTTACAAATACATTATAAGAAATGGACAGAAATACAAAAAAAGGAAGGAAAAGAGCAGTGAAAAGGGGGGGACACGAGCTCTAAAAGTGAAATGTTAAAAAAGCTGCAAGCAAGTAAGGAACTTGAGAAGCGCATAGAGAGGCGGTGTTCATTTTATTGGAATTAATCAGATGCAAATGTGAAATATATATTCCGATCTAATAGATGGGGCGAAGAGATCAAGTGCACGACGATGGAAATTCTCTTACGAGTAAAATAACCAAAGTCAATACACACTCGTACAAGTGCACACTTTGAGAATCGCGTAGAAAGGTGCACTCTTAAATGTCCAATATCTGGCAACGCCATTAGCTACTTAAATTAGGGCGTGAAACCCAAACCCAAGCGGGTTCTGGGAATAAAAATAAAAATAAAATTAACTTCAATTGTTCCACTTCTCACACTCCCCTCACGTACCACCCTACAAACATACATAGATAGTGGGTGAAGTAGTTCTTCTGGAGAAATACAAATATATATAGGAGGTTTGCCAGAGCCACTTTCTATGCAAATTTTTATGTGTTAAATGCATTTTGTTGGATTTAACATTCTCGCTGATTTTTTGGTTTACATTTTTGCATATAAATGAGGGCAAACTTTGCTTCGTTCGGGCACTAAAAAAAAAAGGGGGCGTGGCACCAGCACCCACACCCACACACACACACACACAAATTAGAGGATTAAGTAGCTAGAGTCCTGCCGCCGTTCCTTCTTGGGTCCTTTTGTCTCGGGCCAAGACGTCTCTGGCGCAGAAGAAGCAACAGCAGCGGCGAGACAATTACGCTAATTCGCCTGAAATTGTTTTGCATTTTCCCAAGCAGCCATCGCTGGCAACCCAAAGGCTCAGCCCACATCATAACCACCCAAGAACACCACCCACTCTTCCTGGCAATGACAATGACTGCACCACCAGTCGCATACATATGTGGGTGTGCTGGGGAAAAGGGGAATCTTTTCATCGCTTGTTTAAACAGTTAAATTTGATTGCGCTGTAAATAAGAGAGAGAAATGTAGAGAAATGGAGAATTGTTGAGAAAAGAAAACTATGACGTCTGGATGGGTTGATGGGTGGTGGGTGGTGGGTGGTGTGTGGTATGTGGGTTCTGGGAGCCTCAGTGCTAAGGAAGTTTACTTAATTGTGCAACAATTTCCCTTTTCTCACAAACCATAAATCGCTAAATTCCGCTTGGTCTAATTAAAAGATAAGATTACACAATGCCAAGAATGGAAATGGAAGTATAAATGGGACAATGGATGGACAAATAAAAGGTTTCCGCTTTTGGTTTTCAATTTCAGTTTCTGGAAAAAATATTAAGAAAGGGAAATTATGGCTCAGTTTCTAAACTATTTGATACGATAGTACGTTGATACATCTAGTTAATACATCTATCAAATAACAAATAGCATCTATATCTATATTTTCTCGTCCTGGGAAAAGGTTAGGAAGAAACGAGTAACAAGTAAATGTGTTATAATGAAAGTGAGTAGTATTTTATCAAACTATCCAATAATTTATTCAAAAACTATTTTTTTTATATTTTAAAACTAGAAATAGGTTATTGAAATGATGTCTAATACCTAATAATTCCCTCGTAAAAGAGTAGCCAGATCTATGTAACTATATCACAATTATAACGACTAGAAAAAACCAAATAACTTAAAGAATGTTATTAAAATAATTTAAAATATAAACAAATATAGAAAACTTATAAATTTAAAAAACAGCACCCGGGGACCTTCTTTATTTCCCAGATACTTGATAGAAAAAGTCATAATAGCTAAATGAAAACAAAAATATTTCTAGGGGAAATAAAACAATAAAAATAAATAAAACAATGAGAAACAAAACCAATTGGTGGAACACAGAACACAATTCTCCAACCAACCCAAACCCAAACCGAGACCCAGAAGCAAAGCCCAGACCCAAACCCCAATGGTACTTTCGACTTTTCCCATAAATAAACATCACAATTATCATAGGTAAACAACAATAAAATAAATACGCGGAAAACACCGCGGAAAAACAGAAAGAAAAGGCAACAATTCAATTTCCATACTCTATTTACATTTACCCCGCAGCAATCCTATTTATATTTTATTTTTATTTTAATATATTTTATCTTGTGGATTTTTGCAGCAGAGAGCGGAGCGGAGGAGTGGTTAAGTTTTTTGCGCCAGTCGACAACTTTAAGTTTAATTGTTGCTGCTGCTGCTCTCTCGCAGTTGATTACTTAAAATTCATAATGATAATAATAATAGTGAGCTCTTCACTAATTGCAGCACCAACAATAACAACAACAACTAAAGCAAAAGCCCGAGCAGAGGCAGAGGCAGAAGCCAAAAGCAACTGAAAAGCAAAAGCACATAGCACAAGTGGGCGGGCGGCACTTAAGTCGAAAGTGAGAGAAACTTTTCAGCGCCATTCGAATGGTAGCCAGCAGATAGGAAGGATGCGAAGGATTCGCAGGACGAGCCAGTGGCAGGGATATGCCCATTCACTCATTCATTCATTCGCTCATTCAACCATTTTGCCGCCTGCATTGAGGCAAAATTGTTCCACAAAGATACGAGTAACGAGTCCATGCCAAGGAGATGGAGTCAACTTTATATGGTGGCGCGGGCTAGGATATCCTTGCCGGGGCTTAGGCACTGCAACAAAAATATTTACGATAAATATATACGATATTAATTAAAGAAGGCTTTATGGTTTTTCAAAATATATGATAAACAAGTAAAGGAGTAAAAGGAGTAAAATATGAAAATTACAGATAAACAAGTAACCGACAACAGGTAATGATGAATAAGTAACGATCAACTAATAAAAACTACCGATTAAATAGTAAAGACTACCGACAAACCAGAAAGAGGTCAGAAACAATTCCTTTTAAAATATAATCTTTGGTAAAAAATCTAAAATATTAAGGACCAGATGTCTTACTTACTTCCTTTTTCCTTCCAGTGCTCGAATGTAAGAAAAGCAGCATTCACACAGCATACACACTCAAACAAAAAGACACACAGAGAGAAAAGGGACACAAACAGAGCACCCAAAACACTCCAGCCCATTCACATTTCGAGTGCACTTCATTGCTGTCGCATCTACCCAATCCACAGGATGCCTGACTTGCCTAGCTGCCTGGCTGCCCGCCTGCCCTATCCACTCAATGTCCTTCAAAGCTCGTCCTTGTTCTTGTTGGAGGAGTACTGGCGATGAGAACGTCGAATGCTGCAGGCGCTGCTTAACTTTAACTTGAACTCTAAAATAACAAGCTTCCGTTGTTTTTGGCTTGTTCAGTTTTCGTATAATTTCCTTGCAGGTATTTTCATTGCCCCAACTGCCACGCCCCATGCCCCATGCTACCATCCATGCCCCCTTCGCCACGATTTAAGGACAATGGCAAGGACATTGACAGCGGTTCGAGATCGGACAGCGAAAAGAAAGCCTAACGGCCATTCAACCATCTGGTGAATAAATGAGTGAATAATACAGGGGAATGGTTCACTGATTGGGCAAATGAATAAAGTGAACAGTTTTGTCGAGACTCTACAAGGTCATTGAATAAAGTTCATAAATAAATACTAATCACTGGAAATTACTATAACAAGAGGATATCTTCTATCTAAAAGCTACAATTAAGTTGAAATTCAATCGGCAATCAGTGATTTGTTTAGTTTGTTGTACTTGAAGTTGTCTCTTTTTTTTTAAATTTTTTTCTTCAGAATGAATGAACAAATTGTGCACACGCACAGAGTGCTGAGAAAATCGCATCTGATTTCTAGGGTTACAGGAGGTATTACTGGCACAGGGCGCTGGTATTGCCTGGGAGGGGAGGTCCTGGCACAGGGATGTGATCAAATCAGGACACTCGATTACTCATTCACTGCACTCATTACATTTGATGGGTGTTTGGCATTCATTTGCGTTGGCAAGGACTGCTGTTTTGAGCTGGGCTGCTTATCTTAATGCCACTACCACCAGCTCTTACACTGAGATAACGAATTATATAAAGACTTTAGATCATTTTAAAATTTAATCAAGAAAATGTTTATGTTTTCATTAATTATTCATAAACTATTTTAAAATAATAATATTGTAAATGTCGGTAAAAATTGATAAGGACTTTCTCTGAATTTCCCTGCAGCACATTTTCCGCATCTGCCGGCACCTGTCGTCTCCTCTGACAGACCCCCCTAACCTGTCCCCCGTTCTTTGCAACGCCCCTGGGCATTATCAGACGGGCTGTCTCCCTCTCGTTTGCTCTCTTGCAGCTGCTCTGTTGTCATAAAAGCATGTGCCACGCCTTCCCAAGCAGTCGCCGAAGGCGTTCTATAATAAAAATAACAAATTAACTAAGTTTGCACTCGAAATAATACAAAGGTGTTTTAAGAATTAAAAAGGAAATCTATTACAAACATTTTTTAACAAACATTAACATTTCATATGCAAAAATAATTTTTATAAATTTATATTTCAGCTTAATAGATAATAATTTTTATTTCCAGACCCTATTTCAACTTAAAAGTCCATTTTTTATTGGCCTTTAAATTATTTCAAGTCCCTAATATTAGTCCAAATTTTAAGCCCTTAAGGCCTTAAAAATTCGAAAAACCATCCTTATTAAGTCCTAATTTTTGGTTCAGTGCATTCTTTAGTATATATTTTATATAAAATTATATATACCAGGTCCGTTGCCTTGACAATCAGGCCGAGTGGGTGGAATGGTAGCTGCATCATCAGCCAGTTGTTGTCAAACTGTAAGCGGCTTTTGTGCATCAGCAGCAGTTCCACCAACAACAACAACACCAACAAAATACAACAACAATAATTTAACAACAAGAACAACAACAACTACAACTAAAGGTGCATAAGAAAAACCGTTAAGCTGCACAGTCAGCGGTTGTCGGTTGTCGTTGTTTCAGTTTCAGTTTAAAGTTTCCTTTTATCTAAGATGAATAATCTAGCAGCAGCAGTTGAGTCCTTTTTCCCTTTTCCATTATCCTTACAAAGGGTATTGTTGCTTTTTAGAAGAATTTGGTGACAAAATGGTGGAAATTGTAGCTTTATATATATAGGGCTATGGAGTCTATATTTTCTAAAGTATGGGTTTTTGATTCGTTTTTTTTTTTGATATTTTGTTGATTGGTGGTTCATTGCTTTATTTTCTTTTTTATTAGATAAGTTGCACATTTTTAATATTTTTCGGCTTTTTTATACAATCTTTGGTTCATCTGTTTTTTTGTTCATTGATTTTTTTTGCTCACATGTTGATTAGTTCATATTATTCCTAATTTTTTTAATTGGTTCATATACTCATTTATTCATTAGTTTATTTAATAATTTTTTATTTGTTCATTCAATCATTAGACAAACGGTTAATTTTATTATTGATTTATTTATTTTCTTATTTCCTAATCAGTACATCTTTTAGTGTTTTATTTCCTAATTAATATTCATTACTTCCATTGGTTCATTTTTAAAAATCGAAATCTACTCGAAAAATTTGTCTGTATCCTTTTGTACTAAAAGACTCAATATTGTCTCTGCAAGAACATTCATTCTTCGGTTTTACCCCTAGTTAACTTTCCCTATTTGTACCTCCCCCACTAGATGAGGGGATTCACCGCAACCGCAACCGTCGCACCTTTTTACATTTTTATTGTGGCTTTTGGATACCCTTGCAGGCTGTTGACCAACAATTACTGTCTTTTGAAGGATATGATGAACTTTGGGTAGGATCTTAACATTTCTCATAGCATTTTAATGGGTTTCCTTTGTAAAATATTGTAGATAGTCCTATTATTTGGTTTATTTTATTTTTAAGGCCTATAATGATGGGTATTTTAAAAGTCTCAACACTTTAAGTTAAGGTATATATAGAACCACCCGCTCACCTGCATTATCCTGCGGTCCTGTCCTGTAATGTTACAAGCTCCTGTTGTTCTGGTCCTGGAAAGCCAGAGCGATAATCCCATAGCATCTGTAGCCGGGTAACTCGTCCTCCTACCACTCTCTCCCACAACAACAGAGGAACGAGGGCATCGGCCACCTGCTTGCCGCTGGCCAAAAGCTTAATCCTTGTGCGGAAATATCGTTACGCAAAAGGAGCAGGAGTATCCTTCGTACCTTTTTGTCTCTTGGATGCGATTGTTTTGTTTTCCTTGTTGCTGTTTAGTTAACTCAATAAACGCAAGTGGCTTTGGTCTAAAAGGGAGGTGTTTTTGGGTGGGAGTGGGAGTTCCCGGGGATGGAGAAAAATAATCTTTTTCCCTTTCTCTCTCTCTCAGTATAGCGTCCCCCACTACCCCCTAACTGGAGACAAAAAGTGCTGACATTTGCGCAAAAATTCTCTCAGGCTCATTTACTTGTTTACGTTATTTCTCATTGTCGCTGGATGGTTTGTTTGTTTGTTGTTGTTTGTTCCTTAGTTGTTGCTTGTTTGTTGTTATTTTTGTTGGTCGTGTTGCTGCTTCTGCTGTTGACAATTACACAAAAAACTGTTACCATTTACCACAAACATACGGCCACAGTCAGCAACTGCGATAGATGGAAATCGGCACAAGTATCCAGAGGACTGGGAGGTCCTTCAAAGGCACTGCGAGAAATTGTCTGAATATTCAATAGGTCTTGTATTTAAAATTTTTCAAGAGGCTTAAGCCCCGAACTAGTCATAAAACTTGGTAATACGGCTTTTATTTGAAAAAAGCTGTTTTAATAATTATAATATTTTCTTAATTTAGCCCTGTTTCTCGTGTTTCAAACGCAGAGACAGTACCGGGTATCATATACATATATTTAAAATAAATAAATCAATAAATTAATGAGACTTTATTGTTTTCTTTGTAATTATTTAAACATTTTCCTGGAAAAAGAGATTGAAAGAAACAGTTACCATTTATTAAATCTGTATTGTTGTTCCTTAAATTTAATAAATAATAATTTACTAAAGAAAAAATACAAATAAAAAGTGTCTCAAATTGAAACCTTTTTTTCCAAGTGCAGCGGATAGTTTCATGTCAATAGAAACCGAAACTGTTCGCTTGGCCAACAAGAGAAAATGGCCAGCAGTCAGCACTTTTTGGTCGTAAAAGCAGAACGGCGGGGTGAGTGGCTACCAGGAGGAGGGTGGGTGCTAGGTGGGTGGTCTACTGGCCGCCCACCTCCCCCCTGAGCTGAACTGAAGGCCGCCTATCCATTAAAACGTTAAAAGCTTCTTGAGAACGCGTAAAAACTATTTGGCTATCTGGCTCTGCCACTTTTCCATGTCCTGTGTTCCCTCCGCAGGACTAACCCACCTACAGGACTCTTGGACGAGGGCTCCCTTCTTGCTCAGCTGCGTAACATCATTAAAACTTGAATAATCAGCTATCCATCTCTTTCCCTTTTGGCCAAAAAGGAAGAACAACAACAAAGTAATTCACTTTTCCGTTTGCAATTTGGTCCTTTCTATTTATTTATTTTTTTGTATTTTGGCTATAAAGAGGGGTTAGTTTTATTTGGTTTTTCGTCTGTGGAAACAAGTTGAGTTAAATTGGGTTAAAAAATATAACATTCTCCAATGGGTCTTGAAGTAAGATGGGCCTTGTTTCCTAACAGAAGACCCGCTTGGAAATAAATTATGAAATATTCCAAAATTCAATTGTGAATATTTATCAATGCAAATGGTAAGCAAACGGACTTATTTTACGTTCTCGGCGGGCCAAAGAGCAAATAAAAAGCAAATATAAAATACAATTTGCAGCAAATTTCCGATCGAATGCATTCGAATAACCCAAAAAACGAACGTAGTATGGGTGGGAAAATGAATATTCATGGCATTGAAAATGAAAATGAAAACGAAATTTAAAAAACAATAATCCAAAGAACCGCCCGCCCACTGGTGCTTTCAACTTGAAAAATACAATTTATACATAAATGTACATACATTATGTATATCGGGAAGGAAAAACAAAAATACAAAAAAAAGGGGGGAATCGATTGGCCATCGATAAAGATTTCTGGCCTTTTTTATTTTGGGAAAGGAAATGATTGTCGAACGGCAAGTAAACAAAATAATTTATCATTTTGCCGGAAGTCCTTTCCCGGCGGAGTTCTACGAAGGAAATGCCATTGCCTAGGAGGGCAAAAAAAAAAAAAACCGAAACTTTGGCGCAAACAAAATTAACGGTAATAACTTGGACTTGGCCAAGCGAGAAAAAACGGCAACCGAAGGGCAGAAAAAAAAAATGGGAGAAACCGTTATGCTGCATTTGCATGTGTGTGCGTGGTGGTGTGGCAGAGTTGCCACGTTTTGCGTTGAGCAAATAACTGTAATGAAGTTTGCAAAGTTTTCTGACACATGCAACACCCCAGGAAGCGCCAAAGAAATCCCGCCATACACTCCAAGAAATCCAAGTCTTTAGATAGAATTTCCAGGCTTTATTTGTTAGGGAAGGACATCATTACAAGTCTCGTAGGCCAGTTATCCTGTTTGAATGTTATAGGTGTATCATAGCTCTTTTGGAAGAACCTCTCCGACGAGACTCTCTACTTGTTGTTTCATTAGTATCCAAGTTTTCCAAGTATAGTGTTATAAGTGTGTAGATGGTATTCTATCGCCGTACAAGAACTGTAATATTAAACTCTATTATTATATTATTTTTAAGATATATGGATATCGACGTATACCTGTTCCCTAGGACAGTTGCATGAATTGTGCCCTAGGACATAAACGTGTCTATAAGTCTGAAGTTCGGTTCTGTGCAGCCTTGTGTTTCCTTAAAAATAGTATGTCTCTTAATAGAAGCTAAAATAGGAGGTATATTTTATGATTTATATTCTTAAAAACTTGAAAAACTTACCCGAAATTTTTTGCTTAGCGATGGCGCAAAATTTCATCAATTAACGGTCTGATATTATAATAAATTCTGCCTAGAAATATAATCAATAGCAAATTGGTGCCGAGGGCTAGGAATAAATAAATCAAGCAGTGCATTTCGAACCGATCTTTTTTTTAAGCAAGTCTCTAAAAATGTATTTTTCTCAAAATTTTCATTCACAGATTTTGACGCTTTAATCGAGCTCTAGCCAGATCTTCAAAATCTGAAATTAAAGCAAAAGACAAGGCTATATTGTTGGGGACTTTTCAACAAAAATTTCTCACCGTGTCTTTGGATGTCCGTGCAGGTCGCTGTCCTTCGGCCTTCTTGCGTTTTTTTTCCTTGTTGGCCATGGCCCGCAAAGTGTTTTGCGCGACTAGCAAATATTTGCAAAGTGGCAAACAGAAGTTGGACCAAGAACTCCGGCGTTCTGCGTCCTGTGTAACAGGATGGCTGCGTCCCCCGCTGTGCTTGTTTTTTATCCGGACTCTGGAGCGTGCAAAAATATTATTTTTATTAATGCTCGTCTGGACTTTTGGGTGAGGACGACGCTCACAGGACAATGATGACGGCGTCGTCGTCATCTGGGGTGAAAATGTGTTTTATATTTGTCAAATAAACGCAGCCGCCGCAATAACCAAAAAAAAAACCAAAAGTATTGGCCAAAGTTTTCCCGGTTGTGGGGGTGTGTGTGTGTGTCTGGTTCTTGATACTCTTATTGAGGGTATTTATGATTTTTTCCAAGAAAAGTTCAATGTAAACAAATGTATGTATGTATGTGTTTTTGTTTTGTGCAACACTGATCTAGTGCCACGCTCACCGCATCATGCAAGTCTCGTGCTTCCGTGCAGAAGCCCCTAATTCTAAAGTTTTCCAAAGCTATCGATCTATCGATATCAACCGTGACACGCGATAACGATTTCTTGCAGTAGCCATAATTAATGTAATTATATTTAAATTAAATTAAAAACAAGTGAAAAATAAAGATTTAATTAAACATTATGCAATTCGGCGCACTTCCACAAAAATATCGAATTCAACTTTTTACCGAAGTACAGATTTCAATGACAAAAATATATAAAATAAAATATATAAATATATTTTGTATAAATTTTGTTTGTATATTTTTTATTGTATAAATTCAAAAGGATTTAATTCTGTAATATTTGAAATTTTTTGTATGATTCATTACACATTTTGGTAAATCGATTTTGGTAGGGTTGCAATCAAAGTGTGCTAGTAACAATTGAAGTGTGACCTTAAATCGTGTGGTTTATAGTAGGCCCTGGAATAATTTGACACTGTCTTTTCAGTTTCTGTGATACGGCGTGACACTCGTCAAATTTTTTTTACTGAACTTTGACTGCCACATTTTGCTGAATTTTTTTCATTAATTGCTCTTCTTTGACTACCAAAGGTAAGTTCTTGAATAAAGTGAGTCTAAGCAATAAAAAGTAAGTAAATACGGGCTTTTATCAGTCCGAATTTCGTCATCAGTTCTAGAATGAATCCTATGCGAACCTCCGCTGACCAGAATGGCGAGCAACCAGATCGTCCCTTAAATCTAGCCGCCCTTTTTATGCGCTTTCGAGCTAATTTTTTGGCCAGAAACCGTGCCCGAAGTGAGCCATTGAATCGTGAGGGTGCTTTACCAGTGCCGTTGAATCCGGTCGGTGTTTTACAAGTGCCGTATCCTCCGTACTTCAATTACCCACGACACGCCGCTATACATCGGCGCGCGGCCGCGGGCCGTATTCCGGATGTCATTATCGACCTTTCTGGCCCTGATGAGGAAAGGCCGCATGCTGCCCGCGGTCGTTGGGGCATTGCTGAAGCGATCTTCGGGAACCGTGGCGCACAGATCGATGGCGCACAGGCTGTGCGACGCAGCGAACGCATTGCCCAGTTAGTCAGAAATGCGGTCCCACAAGCAGAAGCAGAGGTGGAGAACGTGCGCCAAGGAAGCCGCCGCCATCGTGCTGAAAACGGAAATGAAGTCGACGATCAGAATCAGGCCGGGCCGCCATCAAAACGTCCCCGGCAGGATGGGGAGGAGGACACCATGGAAAGGGGATATACGTGTCCAATCTGTAATTCTTGTGTCTCGTATCGGAGGCCTGTGGCGACCCGCTGCGGGCACGTATTTTGCCGGGGATGCATAGATCAGGCTTTAAAGAATAATAAGAAGTGCCCCATCTGCAACGGCAAGGTCAAGGAGGGTAGATACATTCGAATCTATATATAAAAACTTAACTTGTATTCTGTATTGCTTTAAAATTATATTTTTTTTTTATTTATTTTGTGGTTCAGACAACACAGATTCCAAATAACACCATTCTGGAATTATAATATCCAAAGAAATACATAGATTTAATTTTGTTTGTGACCTACAACTTCTTGACACTACAACAACTTACAATTTCGGTAAAAATGTAACTCGATCGTTTCTTGAATAAAAGCAAACAGAATAATATACAGAACTGTTACATGCATAAGCATTTATAGATTAATTATTGCCTATATTTATAATTTTATATGGTAAGTACCATAAGTGTTTAGAATCAGTTCACTTTGTAAACTTTTAGAATTTCAGACTACAGATTTTACAGACTATAGTATATCGCAATCGAGCGCGGTAATATAATAGTAATAGTATATAAGTAAGTATAGTAAGTAGTATAGTAGTATATAGTAATTGTATATAATAGTAATCGCTATCATAAATCACCAAGGCTTTTGAGAATTGACTTTAATCAATTCAGTCAATAATTCCGACATTAACACAAAGAGAAAACAATATTATATAGAAAATACCATAGTATCTGAGAATATAACTCGAAATAAGCTCGGACCTCATAAAATTCAATTATATATTTCAATTAATATATTATTTTAATAACTTTGAGATTTCTTTCTCTAGACTTATTGGGAACCAGTTCTTAAATAATATACATATCTTACTAGTGTGATAATATCCATAGATAATTCTACATAAATTTTAAATATTTAATGGGAAACACCATATCGTATCTGGGAATATATTTTCTATTCTTTGTCTACATGGAACCTTACATTCCAAACTTTTCTAATAAAACTCTTAACTCTTAAAACTTTTTAAGGATTTAGAGATTCCTTAAAGTGAATATTTTGCGAAAACACATCGATTATTAGATATTGTAAGAATAAGTTCTCTATATCCAATATCTTCTTTCATTTGACAACATAGAACCTTATATTAGAATTTTGATAATATCTGGGACCATATTTGATATCTGGGAGTATAGCTCAGAATCCGCTCTCTATGTCCTATATTATATAATATTATAAAAATCTTAAATTCAGAATTTTTATATTTAAAATGTCACACTTCTTGTCACAAACTTTGAAAAAGGATTGAGTACTGGAACTATAAACATTCCTACACGGATTCTATAATTTTTTGGAGAACGCCATCGTGTATGAGAATAGCGCTGAGAATCGGTTCTCTATATCTATATAGATTCTATATATTTGTCCTGGAAAAAAAGGCATTCAGTATTCGACTTTGGCCCACTCCTCGTGTGTTTTTCGTATGTTTTCCGCACGCTTTTTTCTTCCTTGTTATTTGAGGGGGCGGATGGGAGTAAGGGAGATAGAGAGGGGGAAGAAGAGTGCAGAAGATTCTCTCGCTCGTCGTCGCCGCAGGAAGCGGAAATCGAGCGTGTAATTGAACGGACATTGAACGAAACTTTCGGCACAAGGTTGCGACGCCTTGAATTTTGGCCCGGAAGGGGGTTCCCGGACAGGGAAAAGGGGAAAGAAAGCAACGAAAGTCCTTGGAGAAGGGAGAGTGGTCACCATTTGTGGTCAATTTTACGGGCGTTGTAAAAACAAAACAGCACTCGCCATCGCATCGAAGAGCATTGGCAAATGGCCAGCGAAATGCGAATACAAATAAATATTGAGATAGGCGAGCGCAGTTTGCGATCCGCCAGATACATTTTGTACTTTTATGCTAGCCATATTTTTTACGACCTAAGGGGATTATTTTATTCTTGTATATTTTCTGGGATGAGGACTTTAGTGTCCAGCAGCTGGGGTGCCATATATTGATGGCTTTGCAGATCGTTTCGGTTTCTGATAAAAATGATGGAAACAACACTCTGGACGGGAATACAAAGTATTCTCTTCCCGGTAATCCAAGTTACAAGTTATATTTAAATGAAGGATTATGTTGGCTTTAAAATAACTAATTAATTTACCAGAGCCCTTTGCATTAGTGTTTCCTGGAAAACGATTCTATTGATAACTGAAACCCAAAGCTGTTGACGGCCTTGGTAGGCCACTGGCAGGCGGACCAGGTTTAGCTGCCAAAAACTGAAAACCAGAAACCCCAAAAACCCCAAAAAAGTCAGCCAGCTTTGGTAGTCGTCAGTGCAATTCGTCAGTTTGTTTAGCGCCGTGGGCGCGACTGCTCAATTAACAAAATGACAGAAAAGGATGAGAGGGTGTGGTGTGGGTTAGAGGCTGGAGAGGCTGGGTGGTTGAGTGGTTGTGGGATGGATCTAAGTCACCCGTGGGGCATTCAACAGAAACAGAAAGGCAAAAGCAAATGTCAAAAGTGTTTTCTAATTTGCGCAACACTCAAAACAGAAACGGAGACAGAAGGCAGTGGCAGGGGGCAGGAGACACTGCCGGGACGAGGCAGGTTGCCAGCCAAAAAGAATAACAACAAAAGCCAACAAATAAAGCCAAAATGTATTTAAGAAAGTGACAAAAAATTCGGTGTAGCCCCCGCCACTGTCCTCCCTGGGCCCACAGCTCAGCTTCTAAGCTTGGCAACTGTACAAAAATGTTTAATTTATCAAATGTCAACGCCTAAAAGACGGCAACATTTGTCGTCGTCAATGACAATGATGATGCCGAATGACTACAGTGAGGTCCTTGCCACGCCTCCCCTCTTGGCTCTCATGACTTGTGGCCATGTTGTTTTTTGTTTTGTTTTTTTTTTTTTGAAAAATGAACAAGGATTTTCCCATACGGTATTATTTATTGCAAGCATCTTCCCAGAGCCCCATCCACCGACTTTTGTACATTTGTTTAATGAATTTGACAAGCGAACTGTCCCCCCGGCAGATGGTTTTTCTATAACTTCCCCATCAGTTATGAGGATTGGGGATATCTACATGGATGCGAGGATTAGGAATGTACATATGTGGTTCTCCGAATGAGATATTAGAGGACTTAACACTATAAGATTAAATGTGTTACTATTTTAAACAAAGATTCAAATATTTGTTAAGAACTATACATCATAAAGAGGAGCAGAGGAGTACCAGGTACCATACATATATGTATGACCATCTTAGTGGGTTTCTTAGTTAAATTATTCTAAGCGTCTTTCATTTCAACGTTTTAAAATTTAAATATTAACAATTTTGTTGTTCCTCTAGCAGAGTATTTTTTTTTTAATTCCTTGTCAGTTATGAGGATTGAAATAAATAGAATGATACTATCACAAGGGGCGTATGTGGTTTTCCGAACAAGATAAATTATACGATTCAATATGCAAATACTTGAAAAAAAACATTTAGGCACATCGGAATATTTATAATATTTTATTTATAAACTAGACATCACAAAACAAAGACCACAGAGGAGTAACAGAGGAGTATCTTTAAACTAACATCTTCGGGATTATAAATAACCTTAAATTGATTGTAATATTACATACTAATTCCTGGAAACAGTTTTTAAATGTATCCTTAATTTTAGGTATATTATATGTTATTAAGGCCTCGATATATAACATGATAAATATAAATGACAAATTATTATAGAATAGGAATTTTATTTTTTCTATTCCTAATATTTCAATAAATTCAATTATTACTTTCGTTCGCTGTTGTATGTAATATATAATATATAGAAATCTATACAAATACTAACAAATACTTGCTGATTATTACTAATCTCTGTCACTATTCTCTAATAACATCACGTCTGTACGCATTCTGTCTGTGAAATATTTTGAATTTTTTATGAAAATATAAGTTATATGGCGGCTATAAGTTGGCTATTAGCTATTAGCCCACATACTCTGTGCAGAACCAAGAAGAGCATGTTTAAACTTTAAAGCTATAGACTCAGTTACCTCCACTTTACGAGGGGCTATACAAATTTATAAATGTATAAATAAATTTATGTAATGCTGGTCTACAGCTAAACTGGCCCAATTTCGATTAATATTTATGCAAAAAATAATTATTATTATGATGTGACTTGATTAAAAGACTAAAGCTCAAGACATTTAAATATACATATAAGCAGAATATTATAATATAAACAATTTCTGGCTGCCCATCTCCTTTCACTAATCTCTAATAACCTTTGACATCCATCCATACGCATTCTGCCGCTGCAATATTTCGAATTTTCTAGCCCATAGTTCCAATACCGTAGACAGCTCTCTCAAGAAGACTGATTTTCTTATCAGAAACTCTGAAGATTGAGCTCAGGGTCGGGAATAATTGAAAAAGCTAGACCCAAGAGACTCGCAGAATCAGTTTAAATTTGTCCTGTCTTCAAGAAGAAAGTCAAACGAGAATCTATGAAAATGATTCTCAAGGTGTTGTGTCTCCCTGCAATTTATTTAATTTTTGTGCTTACAAAAAAAAATAGTATTTGTCCAAAATACAAATACTGAGTTTTCATTTAAAATAAATATAACTTATTACATATTTTATACATTATTTTAATTCCGAATAAAAATTGAAAATATCATTTACACTTTCCGTGATGAATTGTAGAGTTGTGGATTCATTTTGCTAACAGCCATCGAATAAATTGAAATTCCCATTGGCATAATAGCAATATACACACCATATAAGTACATATAAACTTGGCCTAGATGGACTTGCCAAAAAAAGGGGGGCGAGGCTTAGATAGAAGAACACCATCAGTAGCATGATAGTAGGCCGCGTTTAATAGTCTACTGGGAAGCATAAATACAACCATAAATACAACTATCGTTGGCCCTATTCCCCAGTTGGCTTTCCTGATACGTTCCCCTGGTCCCACCAGACCCCCTCTCCCCTTTGTGAGGTTCTAAGCCCCGCTGCCACTCCCCGCCGCCCTGGCTGCACTTATTCGAGCAATTAAGCGGCCCTTTCAAAACAAATCGAAATGCAAACGCGCTGAAAATTGACTGACTGTCAGTTCGCAATCAATTGAGCGGCGG